TTGAGGAATTGTTTTCCTTTTGCTATTAGGTTTCTTTATGTTTTAGTTTTCTGCTAAAGTTAGGTTTTTTATTATTATAAATACGTGTACTGCAAAGTGCATAATTAACTTTTATTCATTCAACTATCTATACAAATTTTATATTTCTCTAAAATTATCCTTTATTTCGTGGATTTAAAACACCCACCTTGTGGATTCAAGGTAATCTGTTCCTTGTGAACAAATTTATCGCTTCTGCTTACATCATATTTCTATTTGTCACTCCTAATTTTCTTTCTAAAATCCACTATATTATATATCTGGGGACGCCATTGTAGGTCCAGATTAACTAAACTATATGATATTCCTTCTTTATTTCTTTCCAATTCACAAAATATAATAATAAATAAATAATGAAGAGATTTTTTGAAAGAATGATGTTTCTCTCCATCCCTATTTATAAATACTGAGTAAGAAATTAGAACCCTAATTTATGAGTATTTTCTAACAAATAAATAAATAAAATTCTGTGTATGTGGTACTTCTTGTTTGTCTCTAAAAAAAATACTTCTATTTAAAGGGACTTAATGTTATTGTCTTGTGTAAACTTACTGTGATCTTAAATTATGCATTTTTTTATCCTCTTTTAATAATAGCTTCCTCATAAATGTCCTTTTGTAATTTTAACATCCAAAACCATAGTAGTTAACACCAATTAAAGCTTACTTCTGGGTTTTGATGAATGCATGGCTGCTGAAGAATGCGAGAACAGAGTATAAATTGAAGTGCCAGAGATGAATTTTAGTGTCGAAGAAAGTGCAGTTTCTGGGTTGGTGAAGTTGATACAACAAACAAAGATTTAATATGAAATTAAACATAGACAATGCTAGAAGAGACTCACCTACAATCTTACTGCAAAATTGGATCTTCTTCCCTAAAATCCTGCTTTCTGATTTTGTTGTTCTCTGTTTGAAACCCTTACTTGAATTTAGGGTTTCGGGATTGGTGAAGTTGATACAACAAACAAATATTTGACCATACACGTGTGATCTTGTTGTGAAATTGGACATTCTTCCCTAAAATCCTGCCTCAAGCTTTTCTTGTTCTTTGTTCCAAACTCTTGCTTGAATTTAGGGTTCTTTGGGCGGGAGCTCCCTCTTTGGCCTTTTGTTTTGTTTAAGGTCAAATTTCTGATGATAACTCATCCGTTTTAATTTCTTAATTCCTTTTTTTTTTTTTTTTTTTTTTTCTGTAATAGGCTTACTCTGTATAAGTTAACGAAGGATAAACACTAACGGAAAAAGCCATTTTCTATGGTTATAATGGAGCCTGCTTATATATTATAAAGCGTAGTGTTATTGCGAGAACGCTCTCGCAAAAAATCTAAAGAGCTCGCGCTCCTATTTTTAGGGATTTGAGAAAGAGAATTAATTAAAAAAGAATCATTTGCAAGTAAGGAAACAAATCAAAAAAAATTCTCTGTCTTCTCTCCACGTTCTCTCTTGGTTAACATCCTCAATCAATCTATCTCTTTGCAGTTTCTGAATTATGCTATGTTTGGTTAGCAACTTGTGATCCATTAGGATCTAGTACCAATTAATATGACCATTTGTGAGGAAAAAAATGTAACCAATTTTATGCCCATGCCCAACTCTACAAGAAGACAATTCGAACACCATTCCACCCCTCCAGCCCTCCTTCATATCCATCGTAATTTCTTCTTCATCAAGAGATAATGGAAAAGACTCAATCTGTTTAATGCAGGTGGAGAGACTCTTTGATCGAAAGACAAAGGGTTAACTATGAGAGAGAAAGAGACAGATTCTTTGATGGTTAACTAAGGAGAGAAAGAGACAGACTGGTTGAGGTTAGCAACTTGTGATCCATTAGGATCTAGTCCCAATTAATACGACCATTTGTGAGGGAAAAAATGTAACCAATTTTATGCCCATACTCTAACTCTACAAGAAGATAAATTGAAGACCATTCCACCCCTCCAACCCTCCTTCATATCCATCGTAATTTCTTCTTCATCAAGAGATAATAGAAACAACTCAATCTGTTTAATGCAGGTGGAGAGACTCTTTGATCAAAAGATAAAGGATTAACTATGAGAGAGAGAGACAGATTCTTTGAGGGTTAATCAAGAGAGAGAAAGCGACAGATTCGTTGAGAGTTAACCAAGAGAGAGAGAGAGAACGTGGAGAGAAGAGCGAGAAAAAATCTTGATTTATTTCCTTACTTATAAATGATTCTTTCTTAATTAATTATCTTTCCCAAATCCCTAAAAATAAGAATTGTGTAATTTATAATATAAGCGTGAACTTTTTCTCAAAGTAGCATACTACAGGGAATCCACTTAAGAGGATTCGCGCCTTCTTTGCCTTGCCCCAACCCATGTTCTATCTTTCGGAGTTGTCTTGTAGTTGATGACCAAAGGTAACTTGTTCAAACTTCAAAGTACAAGCTCTTATAATGACTATGGGCTTTCCATGAAATGTTGGGATTGTTGGGTTGTTTCTGTTTTGATTCTAAGCCTGTCCGGCTGATTGCTTACTTCTTGGCCCATTTCATTGGGCCAGTAGAGTATTACCTATATATAAAATTACTCTTTACCTTTAGAATAAAAAAATATAATACTAATTCAAGCTGGTGTTGGGATTTTTTTATAATTATCAGACAAGTATTTTCCTACGTATAGTTATATAGTTTAATTATATAGAATGTTGTTGACCGATAGTTGTATTGTAATGGAACAGAAAAGTTATAAAAAAATAAAAAATAAAAACCCTGATTACTAAACTGTTGTAGGTTACCCATTCACTAAAGCGTGGTTACACTCTGTGTACACATTCATATTAATTATAGGAGACTAACTATGTTATGAGAATTGCATATATATATATATATATATATATAAGACTAAAGACTCCACGAATGAGCAGTTCCATTTTACGTCTAACTGCATATAGTTAGACACCTTGGATGTTACCATATAAATGGGACTTTATGAGTGCACATGGAGTTCACTATGATTTGTAATTGTATGCGGATATTTGGGTATATATATGTCTGTGGTTATATTATACTGATGATGAAAGGAAAATTAATTCACTAATTGAATGATGAGTTTGTCTCACATGGGAAGTAATTGTCTCATTGGGTCATCATTCCATACAAATCTTAGAAATTTTTTTATCTATTATTATTACATGTATTATTGAGCTGCAACCTTATCGAATTTGTGAGCTCACTTTATTTTTATATTTCAAGTGCTTAATGGTTGTAGAGTCTCGCGTTGAAGACCAGACAAATTTAGAGTTGTTATTTATTTATTTATTTCATGAGAGTTTTTGTAATAAGAACTCAATGTAATTTCATGCTAAATTGATCATTGAATATTATATGAATAAGTGATTTAAATTTAAATTATAACACTACAATCCTTATATTATGCTTTGATCTGTGCATTAAATTGCAATATCAGAGAGAGAGAGAGATGTTATGAAGAGTCTACGGACTCTCGGAACATTTTTACAATCAGCTCATCTCAAAGTTCAAATTGACACAAAATGTGTGAATTTATTTATTTCAGTAGTTATAAACTTATCAATTAACCAGCTAACTAAGGTCCTCACTACCTTCTCGTGCTTCTTTCTTCTTAGGAAAAACATCTCCTACCATAGAAGTTATATAAGACGTCAAACATAAGTGCATTGGAGATTAGTGAATGAGCTGTGTGTGTGTGTGTGTGTGTGTGTGTGTGTTTTCTTCCATTTATGTTGCTTTGCTTTGTTAATTGTAGTGTGAGAAATTTTTGAGCAGAAAACTCGTGGTTTCTGTATTGAAATTCCTTGTTTGTGAGGTGAGAAAACCAGGATCAAACAAGAAAATCATAATAAATGGATATAGAGGAAAAAAAAAATGAGTTGTGGAACTTCGTGTGTATGACTAAATACCCGTAATGGAGAAAAAATGCCAATGCATTTTCCCACAATAGGACCGTGTCTGGTTCCAATCCAGGCAAAAAATAAAAAATAAAAATTCCGAACACTAATTTGGATTCGAATTGATCATCAAGTATCAAAGTCCAAAATCATTTAATAATTTCTTCCATAAATGAGACTGTCAAGCGTTAACATTCTTTCTTTAATTTGCCTTAAACTACATAAACAAACACAAGGCATGTGGAGCCTACCATCTACGGCCAGAAAACTCTGTGATGATGGCCCCATATGCCTTGTGTCTACTTCGAGTATCATCAGTCTAAAAAATAATATATACATATGTGTATATATAAAAAATAGAATAGTTATTTATTGTAGCAAGATTAGAGTGTAAATAATTAACACTTATTTTTTTTTAACTAGATTTGATTTCTTAAAAGCAAGACTTAAATGATTTATCAGAATTTGAATGAACCATAAGTAATTAATTTCGTTTACAAATCATAGATAGGTAGTCATAAATAGGAATTTTAAAACAAAATTAGAGTGCCATCTTTAATTTTCCTATACAGAATCAGAATTTATCATCAATATCATCTTTCTTGCCTTTTTCCCTATAAATAGGAACATAAAATCGCAATTTATTTATTTTTAGGTGCCATTAATAGCGTTTTGACCAAAAAAACAAAAAATGGCCCTCCTAGGCTCCCTCTTCCTCCAGAGTCCACCCTCAACTAGATACATGGTAGACCTATTTCTACGTTGTGCCTAGAAATTCCCAGACTCAAATTCCAACCAATGAAAGCAGTAACCACACTCTAATAATAGCAACTCAATTGCCCTATACTATTTAAATGCCATCTTCCCCACTGATGTTGTAATAACCTTCCAAATTTGGGAATCAACATGGACAATGTATTAACACAACAGCCAGCCATTTGAGATTCTAGGAAACCAATCACTCTACAAGCTGTTTCTCATCTATTCCACCATAGAAAAATTTATTGCCTTAACATCCTCATCATAGACATAGACAACTTACAGGACTCCTAAATTTAAAATCAAATTCCCACCATGAGGATGAAAGTGGCACAGCTCACTTGGCTGCTCCTAATGCTCCTTCCTTGTCACCCATGTGTTGCAAACCAGGTTGACAACCTTAACAGGTTGATCAAGTCCCGGAGATCAAAAAATCCTCCGGCTGCACAAGCTTGGGCTGAAATATCCGTCACGGATGATAAAAAACATTCTCCGGTGTACATTGGACCTCAAGATGGAAAGAGTAAAGCCGACAAGATTAATGCTCTCCCGGGGCAGCCTGCAGGAGTGGACTTTGATCAGTATGCAGGCTATGTAACTGTGGATCCAAAAGCTGGAAGAAGTCTATTCTATTACTTTGTGGAGTCACCTCAGAAATCTTCCACCAAACCTCTAGTCCTATGGCTCAATGGAGGTGATACAGTGCCATTATCTTTTTCTATAACAAAGCACCATAAAAATAAAAGAATACAGCATATATAATATGTGTGTGTGGGCGTATTTTCATTGAACAAATAGTTGGAACCATTTTTTGTTGGGAGCCCCATTAATTGATGGAAGGTGGACCAGCAAATAGTTGGAACCATTAGATACCAATCATTGTGTCCACATACTATACAAGACACAAATAACAATGGAGAAGTTTTCAATCAAAATATTGCTAATGATGCTCGCCGTATATTCATTCTTTAGGTGACTTGTAGTATATGCTTTATTTATTTAGAATTAAGTACTAATTGAGTGTTACTATTGTACAATACTGCATATTTACTTCCTTAATTTGTTAATTTTATCATTTTTATGATATGTTTGCAACAGGACCAGGATGTTCATCACTTGGCTATGGGGCAATGGAAGAATTGGGACCCTTCAGAGTCAAAAGTGATGGAAAAACACTCTTCAGAAATGAGTATGCATGGAACAAAGGTAAATTATCCACCTCATATTCTCTATGTTAAAAAATTTAACTAATGAAGATACAACTTTGGACTAAAGCCTCCAGAAAACTTACAGTGGCAAATGTGCTATTCCTGGAATCCCCTGCTGGAGTCGGGTTTTCGTATTCGAATACACCCTCCGACTATGAAAAAGCTGGTGATAAGAGCACCGCCGACGACTCTTACACATTTCTCTTAAACTGGCTTGAGAGGTTCCCCCAATACAAAAACAGAGATTTCTACATATCCGGAGAGAGCTATGCCGGTCACTATGTGCCTCAGCTTGCTTACACCATCCTGTCAAGAAACAAGAACACAGACAAAACAAAAATTAATCTAAAGGGCATTGCAGTAAGTTCATTGTCAATTATGCTATGCCATGTTTATGTACAAGTAACCATCCCAGTCTCTGAAGTAGAAGACTGAGAGTTTCAATTGATGGTGCAGATTGGGAATCCTTGGATGGATGAGGATACCAACAACAAGGGGCAGTATGACTATTACTGGACACATGCTTTGATCTCTGATGAAACCATTGCAGGAATAAGCAAGAACTGTGACTTTCTCAGTGGGAACATTTCAAATACTTGTGGCCAATTTCTAAATGAGGCAGATATTATGTATCAGATCATTGATATTTACAACATTTACGCCCCACAATGCTTTTCAAATGCAACAAACACTGCTTCCACTGGCTCTGTAAGTCCTTGCTTTAGTGACATTTACCTTTAAGTGCAAAATAACCATACAACTAAAATTTGATTTTGATGCTGCATAATTAGATCAAGAACTTTGATCCCTGCGACTACGTCTATGTCAACGCCTACCTGAATTTACCTGAGGTGCAGAAAGCTTTTCATGCCAGGAATATGTCGTGGTCAGCTTGCAGGTATGTATTCTTTTGCTCATGGAGAATTTATGAACAAGGTAATGAGGTTTTATAACAGTAACACATCAACATGGCAATTGCAACTTCTCAACAAATCAATCAAATTCGGGTGCTTTTCAATCTGATAAAAGATGTTTTGTGCAGCAACGTTGGATGGGTAGATGCCCCTACAAGCGTTCTACCAACAATCAAGCAGCTCATAAAAAGTGGCATTAGAATATGGATATATAGGTAAGCAACAATTTTTTCAACACACACTAAGCACAAGTATATATACAGAATGCAAGTGATACAGCTTAGAAGATGACAAGCCAATTGAAATACAATTTACCAACTGCACCAAACAGAAAACTAAAACATTATTTTTCACTGGAATTATTGCAGTGGTGACATTGATGGCCGGTGTCCAGTAACCGCCAATAGGTATTCCGTAAACAGTTTGAAGCTTCCTGTGAAGACGCCTTGGCGTCCATGGTATTATAACAATGAGGTAATATGATTATGGTTATATGCAATGCACCCATTGCAGCTGCAAGCTACAGGTTATTAATATGTATGCATATTGTGACAATGGCAGGTCGGCGGGTTCGTGGTTGAATATCAGGGACTGGCCCTGGCCACAGTAAGAGGTGCAGGGCATGAAGTTCCAAGCTACCAACCGGAGAGAGCACTGGCATTGATCTCATCTTTCCTTCAGGGAAAGCTTCCTAAATCAACTTGAATAAATTTTCTTAACCTGATTCAGCAGGTTAATATTAGATTATACTGTATATTGTAAACTACGGTTAGGGTTAGCGGTCTTCACTTGATCTCGTTACTATGTATAGCATTATCTGGTTTACTTGCTCTCCACGCATAACCTCTCCTATATAAACCCCTATGTATTCTTGTATTTATTATCACATATCAATACAATACATTGTATTTCTCACTCTCTACTTATGAATATACTTCTAACACTTCTCTTCATGTAATGCTAGAAAAGATAAAATTAATGTAAATGTAAATAAGCCATTTAAATTTTAACCTGAACCTGTTGTTCTGGATTGTGTTTTAAATGTTATAATGGCCATAAAGGAGAAGGACAAACTCTCCTAAACAAAAGTTATATACATGAATTAATGCACAACAAAACTTGATCAATGAGGGAAAACCACCAGCGAGCTTCCTTCGCTAAAGACTAGGCAATTAAGTTGATTCCAAGTTCTCTATTTACAGAACAGGCAAAACCAAATCAAGAAAAGCATATAACCATGTTGATAAGAGGAATTCTCTTATACTTCCTTTTTTTACCTAACAAATAATATAGAGTACTCACCACCACGCCTACTGCCATCGCCTTCCACTAACACCATTGCCGCTTTTTGCCATCACCATCGTCGCCACCTTCCACCATTGTTGCCTTCCAACACCATTACCACTTTCCACCGTGACCGCCATCCACCATCGGCTCCATTTCTTTTAAAAAAATTATAGAAGAATGTTATTTTGTTAATTTAATTTATTTATTACTACGAAGGGTATTTTAGAGAATTCAATTTGAAATTCATTCCCTTCTAAATTTTAAATTGGTCCAACCAAATACTAGAATGGTTATTATCATTCCATTCCTACACGTTTCATATTTGCAACCAAACAACAGAATGAGAATGACCATTCCATTCCATTCTCAACTGTATTCCATTCCATTCCTGCGCACCAATTGCAGCATAAGTTCTTCGATAAATTGAGAAATTATTAGATGGTCCTGAATTATTGACACTTGGTTGTCCAAGTCCAATGAGGGATGGACCCCAAAAAGTATGTTAGGGGGCAGCCTTTAACAAAAAAATGTTGTGGGGGCAACATAAATTGTTTTGGGGGGCAATAGTGGAGTTTTTCTGTAATTTCAGTGGGGGCAAATTTAAATTTTAAAGATATATAATTCAAAAAAATAATATTAATAGGTTTATATAATACCAACAAGACCGTGCCTGGTTTCAATCTAGACTGCACAATTAAGAGAAGTGAACCTTTAAGAGTAATAGTATAGGAAAATAACATTTATGTGGAGTCAGTAGATACCCAATTAGACAACCCACCCCACAACCAAGGGGGTCGGGCCTCCTCGACTCGGCAAGAATTGTAGTGCTCAAAATATATTTAAAGAAAATAAAAAAACAACGAACACTAATTTGATTGGAGTGGATCACCAAGTCTTATATAGTCCACACCCATCTAAAATTTCACCAATAGATGAGACTTGACTCAACAATCTTTTTCTTCCTTCTTTAATAGGCCAAAGGCCGAACTATCGAAACAAACACAAGGCATGTGGAGCCCACCATCTTCGGCCAGAACCGTCGAAGTAGAAACAAGGCCTGTGATGCTGGCCGAAGCAGACACAAGGCCTGTGGTGTGATTGGGTACACTCTAATTTTATCAAGGGTAAGAGTTTTTGGAATCTCAAAGCTAACCAACTCAGTTCTTGGAACTGGAGGATGCTACTTAAGCTCAGAGGTTGAGCCAAGCCATTTATCAAACACCAGGTGGGTGATGGATGTAACACTTTCCTGTGATTTGATTACTGGTTGCCTTCTGGGCCTATTGAGCAAAGATTGACCAGATAGAATCACATTATCTGGTTTCCTAAACATATTCCTAGACATGCTTTTATTACTTGGCTTGCTCTGCATACCATTCTCTACACTAAGGACATATACTTCTTTTCTCCTATTGACAACTCAAATCTTTGCTCTCAGTGCATGAGTGAAGTTCAGACACTTGAGCTTTTGTTCTTCAAGTGCAGTTCTTTTCTCTAGTGTGTGGGATTTTATTCGGCACAGGTGTGGTATTTATTGTGGAATGCTGATTGTAAGTCGATCACATCTATCACAGTCAAATTATGTTTTTCAGCTTGCATATGCTTCATATGAAAGGAGAGAAACAAACGCACCTATTCAGGAAATCAAGCAATTCCTCAGGCTGTGTGGAAGATTATTGAGAAATGTGTTCGAAATCGCCTGCTTTCCATTCAGCTGCTATTGCTCCAGTCTCCAGAGGCTCTAGAGCAATAGCAGCTGAATGGCGGATACCCAAACATGATTGCTCCCGTCTCGGATACAAGTATCTAATCCTTCTTTTGGTGGTCTGTCCTGCTCTTCGGTTGCTTGTAGCTGTAGTAGCTGTGGGGTGGGTGCGGAGGCTCTGTTTCCTTCGGGCGTTTTTTCTGTTACTTTGTGGCTATGGTGGTACAGTTTCCTTTTGATTTAATATATATATTGACTTACCGAAGAAGAAAAATAAATAAATAAAAGCATCTGTATATATACGTGTATATATTATTTGTTACACTGCTTATATTCTACCGAACACAAGGCCTGTGACAAATGATATATGCACAATAACCAATAGTACATACACATGTATATCAGTATATCTATAAATAGATTAGTTATATGTTGCAGGCTTGCAGCAAGATTATAGTAAGACTAATCATCACTTCTTCTTTTTTATTAGATTTGATTTTTTAAAAGCAAGACTTAAGTGGTTTATTGGAATTTGAATGGACCACAAGTACCTGCCTTTGTAAATTACTTTAACCATAATTAGCAAATTTTTTAAATAAAATTGGAGGGCAATCTTTAATTTTCCTGTACAAAATCACAATCCATCATCATCAATATCATCTTCCTTGCAAATCTTTATTTATTTATTTATTTATTTTTGATGGACTGCAAAATCACAATTAATAAGGATGTTTGACCAAAAACAAAGGTCCCCGTAGGTCCCCCTCTCAACCACTAGTGCACCCTCGACTAGATATACATGGTATACCTTTTTCTACGTTGTTGCCTAGAAATTTAGTAGACTGAAATTTCAACCAATGAAAGTAGTAATCACACACTAATAATAGCTCTACTCAATTGCCCTACTATTTAAATGGCATTTTACCCACCAATGTTGTAATATCCTTCCAAATTTGGGATCAACACAGACATAGACACCTGCAGGACATTGACATAGACATAGACAACTAATCAAATTCCCAGGATGAGGATGAAGGTGGCACAGCTCACTTGCCTGCTCATAATCCTCCTTCCTTGCCACCCATGTGTTGCAAACCAGGTTGATAACCTTAACAAGTTTATCAAGTCCCGGAGTTCAAAAAATCCTCCGGCTGCACAAGCTTGGGCTGAACTATCTGTAGCGGATGAAAAAAAACATTCTCCGGTGTACATTGGACCTCAAGATGGAAAGAGTAAAGCCGACAAGATTAATGCTCTGCCGGGGCAGCCTGCAGGAGCGGACTTTGATCAGTATGCAGGCTATGTAACTGTGGATCCGAAAGCCGGAAGAAATCTGTTCTATTACTTTGTGGAGTCACCTCAAAAATCTTCCACCAAACCTCTACTCCTATGGCTCAATGGAGGTAATACACCGCGCGCCATAATCTTTTAATTTCTATGACAAAGCACCATAAAAATCAAAGATTACAACATCATATGTATGTGTGTGTGCATGCGCGCATTTTCATTGAACAAATAGTTGGAACCATTAGATACCAATCATTGTCTCCACATACTATACAAAGACACAAATAACATTGGAGAACAAGTTTTCAAACAAAATTCCAACATTTACTGTTTTTTTTTTCATTTTTTTTTTTTTTTTGATTGCTACATTATGAGAATATTGCTAGTCATGCTCAGTGTATATTCATTCTCTAGGTGTCTTGTATTATATGCTTTATTTATTAATTTATTTAGAATTGAGTACTAATTGAATGTTACTACTATTGTACAACACGGCATGTTTACTTGCATTAATTTGTTAATTTTATCATTTTCTGATATGTTTGCAACAGGACCAGGATGTTCATCACTTGGCTATGGAGCAATGGAAGAATTGGGACCCTTCAGAGTCAAAAGTGATGGAAAAACGCTATTCAGAAATGACTATGCATGGAACAAAGGTAAATACCCACCTCATATTCTCTATGTTAAAATTTTTAACTAATGAAAGATAAAACTTTGGACTAAAGCCTCCAGAAAACTTACAGTGGCAAATGTGCTATTCCTGGAATCCCCTGCCGGAGTAGGGTTTTCGTATTCGGATACACCCTCCGACTATAAAAAAGCTGGTGATAAGAGCACCGCGGACGACTCTTATACATTTCTATTAAACTGGCTTGAGAGGTTCCCCCAATACAAAAACAGAGATTTCTACATATCCGGAGAGAGCTATGCCGGTCACTATGTGCCTCAGCTTGCTTACACCATCCTGTCAAGAAACAAGAACACAGACAAAACAAAAATTAATCTAAAGGGCGTTGCAGTAAGTTTACTATCAATTATGCTATGCCATATTTACGTACAAGTAGCCATCCCAGCCTGTGAAGTAGAAGACTGAGAGTTTCAATTGATGGTGCAGATTGGGAATCCTTGGATGGATGATAATACCAACAACAAGGGGCAGTATGACTATTACTGGACACACGCTTTGATCTCTGATGAAACCAATGCAGGAATAAACAAGAACTGTGACTTTAGTGCGAACACTTCAGAAACTTGTGACAAATATACACAGGAGGCATTTTCTGTGTTCCGAATCATGGATATTTACAACATTTACGGCCCAACTTGCCATTCAAATGCAACAAACAATGCTTCCACTGGCTCTGTAAGTCCTTGCTTTTAGTGAGATTTACTTTTCAAGTGCCAAATATGACCATACAACTAAAATTTTGATTTTGATGTTGCAAAATTAGATCAAGGACTTTGATCCCTGCTCCGACATCTATGTCAAGGCCTACCTGAATTTACCTGAGGTGCAGAAAGCTTTTCATGTCAGGAATACGTCGTGGTCAGCTTGCAAGTATGTATTCTTTTGCTCATGCAGAATTTATGGAACAATGTAATGAGGTTTTATAACACATCAACATGTGAAGTGCAACTTCTCAACAAATCAATCAAATTCGGGTGCTTTTCAATCTGATAAAAGATGTTTTGTGCAGCGACTATGAATGGGCAGACGCCCCTAAAAACGTTCTGCCAACAATCAAGCAGCTCATAGCTGGTGGCATTAGAGTATGGATATATAGGTAAGCACCAATTTTTCCAGCAAACACTAGGCACAAGAATACAGAATGCAAGTCTACCAGAAACTATAAGAAGATGACATGATGGAATATGCCTGAACTTTGAAGCCAATTGAAATACAATTTACAAACTTCACCAAACAGAAACTGAAACATTATTTCCACTGAATTTTGGCAGTGGTGACAATGACGGACGGTGTCCAGTGACCGCCAATAGGTATTCGGTAAACGCCTTGAAGCTTCCTGTGAAGACGGCTTGGCGTCCATGGTATTATAACAAAGAGGTAATATATATATTATGGTTATATGCACCCATTGCAGCTGCAAGCTACGGGTTATTAAGATGTATGCATATTGTGGCAATGGTAGGTTGGCGGGTTCGTGGTTGAATATCAGGGACTGGCGCTAGCCACAGTAAGAGGCGCAGGGCATGAAGTTCCGAGCTACCAACCGGAGCGAGCACTGGCATTGATCTCATCTTTCCTTCAGGGAAAGCTTCCTAAACCAACTTGATTAGATTTTCTTAACCTGATTCAGCAGGTTAATACTTCTCTCCATGTAATGCCAGAAAAGATAAAATTATGTAAATGAAAATAAGGCAACCTGAGCCTGTAGTAAACTCTGTAAATGAAAATAAGGCACAACCTGAGCCTGTTGTAAATTATGTAAATGAAAATAAGGCAAAAACAAATCAAGAAGAGCACATAACCATGTTGATAAGAGGAATTCTCTTATACTTTTTCTTTTCTTTTATTTTTCTTTTTTCCCCTAACAAATAACACGCTCACTGCGACGAGGTTCTAGCGACGAAGTCTAGACCCCCAACATTCCACCATATAAAACAACACAAAAGAATGCTCTAGATCAGAGCAACTCAAAAAAGTAAAATCACTGAATTCAACAACCCCCATTGAACACTTTATCATCATCTCCAAAACTCGAGTAAAAATAATGCAGAAAGAAACTGATTTTAATAATACCTAGAGAAGAAAGTGAAACCAATTTTCTGAAATGTGCCATAACAAGCTCACCTACATGGCTTTCTTAGAGAACAAAATAGTTTGTCAGCAGATATCACATTCACCATACGTAATCAAGGTAACAAGTGCATAGCACAACTTGCATCAAGCATGATGACCATCCTGTTGTTTGAAACCAGAGCACATTTCTGATTTAAGAAGCATACCACACCATTTATTTAAATTAAGAAGTTTCACGTTAAATCCCGCACTTGTACACAATGCTTAATAAAATCCTAAAACTGCCTCATAGAGTCAAAATTCGGTTCCACTCCACTTTGGAGGGGTTCTACAGAATCAAGCAAACTACAGGAAACAAAGAAGATAGGCCCATTCTAAGCGCGTTTCCAATCACTAGGACTAAATGTGTTTGCTTGGGCAGCCTTTCAGCTTACTTGCTGTTGGTGGGTGCCGTACACAGGATAAGCCCCATATGAAACAGCAGGTGCAGCGTACATGCCTGGGTAATGAGGTGGTGGCAAAGCATATCCATAACCATCATAAATCTGCCCTCCATAATATGCGCTGCTCCACTGGTTACCAAAATCAGATCTCAACTGCCAAATACAAGCAGTACCAAGTAAGAAAGACAACGAAATTGGAATATAACAGACTTTTAACTTTTAACTGGAGAAAAAACTACAATTGCATAATTGTTTAAGGAAAATTCGTAGCATAATATATAACTTGAGGGAAACCAATGATTCCAATTCCAATGTTTCTCTAAAACAAACAGTAGACGCATCTTTTATGAAACACCTCAATATTATGTCCAAGAAAATTTCATAATATACGCAAATGTCAAAAATTATTTTACACAACTAGTAAACTCTACAGAAACTGTTAGCCATAGGAAGACATTCATCTTTTGTATTTTTAAAAAGACACTACCATAACACAGGTAGTGCTGAAGGGAGCAGTGTTATCAGAGGCCCAAGGCACACTAAGGAACTAGAGGTCCTTTGGAGCCTAGGCACAAGGCGAGAAGCGCGCCTGAGTGAAGCGAAGCGCGCAATTGAAAAATTAAATTACTATTAAAGCATTCAATATTCAATATTAAAGGCGCAAGTGTTGTCAAAGGCGCACCTGGGCACACAACAGGCGCAATTGGTGTGCCTGTATGAGCCTGGCGTCCAGGCGCACCTTTGACAACACTGGAGGGAGAGAAGGTAGTTAAGAGGGAGAGAGAGTGCTTGCCTGCTTATTTGCTGGATTTCGTCCCCAAGAAAGCCGCACTATTTGCTTACCGATTACAGTACCATTCAATTTCTGCATTGCTTCCTCAGCATTATTTCTGTCAAGATAAATTATTAGGATGACATATTAACTAAGAAGTAGTTAAGTCTAGAATCTTGACATATCATCCAAGGATGGCCAAAGCACATCTCAGAAAGAGTCTCACCTGTTAGCAAATTGTACAAACCCGCATCCTTTCCCAAGTGGTATTTTTACAGAAACTATATCACCATATTGGGAGAAAGGCTGCCTGAGATCTTCGTCTGCGACACTGGGATCAAGCCCTCCAACAAAAATCTACAAACCAATCCATGATTAGCCAAGAAAAAAAAAAGAAGAAAGAAACAGGATTCACTAATAGCTAGAACCACGTAGAAGAGCTTGAGAACTAACTGTTGTGTTTGTAGAATCAACATCAGATTGGGAGCCTTGGGCTGAAGCACCTTTTGAAACATCTCTACCTATAAACAATTCAACATCAAAGCAATTTTAACCCACACACACACACACACACACACAGACACACACAGAAAAAAATAGTAAAGTGAACTTCAGATTATTAGCAATGGCCAAATGAAACTTCCTAAAAATTTTGATGGTAGAAAATATCGTGGACAACAACATAATGTATATAAACAAAAAAGTTGTTAAGTTTTTGGTGATTAAATTATTTAATTTACTATAGTAAATTTAAGACGAAGTGATTAAAATTATTAAATATTCTACGGTAAATTTAAGATGAAGTTCAATCAATAAAGAATCAGTAAAATAAATTATGTGGTAGTTCAATTCATAAGGTATACAGGCCAGGAAGAAAGAAAAATAAAATATAATGAAAAATATATATATACAGTAGAGAGAGAAATAGTAAGAACCCAGAATATAACTGACAAATAACTGTTATAGTGACAGGAGTCATGAGGAATTGCTTTGAATGAGCAATTGTATAGAAAAGAGTTCTTTTATGAAAAAATAGATAACAAATAAATTAATCATGAATAAATGTTTGTTATACTACACTAGTCAAGTATTTTTCCATATCAGCTGGAGCCAGCTTCAAAAAAATATAATGACTTGAACAAAATTTGGCAACTCCTCCCATTGTTTTTCGGATTGGAGGGAATTATCTCTCTCTCTCTCTCTCACACACACACACACATTGTTTTTCGGATTGGAGGGAATTTGGTTGAGACATCTTTAAATTGCATGCAAAATGAAGTGCAGAAGAAAATGAAAAAATATATATATGGGGGGTTGTGTTCATTTCACATAATTTACCCCATCCCCCGCACCCGCACTCCCCACCCTCGGTTCCACATATCACACCCTAGAGTTTGATTTTCAACACAAAAGACACTTGGGCACCTGCACAAGCACAATGCTATTATTCGTTATTGCAGTTTCCTAACAAGTGAGATATTTGTCAAGCCTTGAGGCCCTAGATGGAGAACTTATAGTTGATGAGAATAACATTGTTGAGAAGAATTCACCCTTGGAACGGACTGCTCAACTCACCCAAATACCATACTGCAGTCAGGTTCTTCAAAGTTCAAATCACAGAAATTATGATGGTATTTTAGAATGCCTATCATGATGTACTTGACACATCACAGGGTTTTAAGAATAACAGGATTGTCCAGAAGAACATTCAAAATTTCCAAATCCTGGGATTTGTGAAATTCATGACCTGGAGGAATTGAATGCAATAAAATTTAGAAACACTTGCCACAGCTGTATACCTTAAGGAATATGTTATATCAATTCATCGAGTGAGGAAAGAGTGTCTTGCTAACAACAGAACACTGCCACCATCTCTTCAATCTTGCGACATTTCTTCTTTAAACATCACCATATATCATAAGGCTACCAGTGCCTCCATCCTTCCACTTTCACCAAGATGCTTCCACCACCAAACATTGCCTTAACCAAAACCACTCTTTATACCTCAATAACAGCATCTTGATACATTATCAACACCACCCCCTCCTATCCTTCACAATGCCATTTTTGTAGCCATTACCACCACAACACAAAAATAACCACCCCTATTGCCTCAACCCACCACCACCACCACCACCATAATAGGTCCACAGCCATCACCTACACAACAGCACCTCACCGCCGCTATGACCATCTCCTCCTCTAAAATACCACTATTGCCACCATTTTCACCCATGTCTACCACAACCACTTTCACATCAAACACTGTGGATGAGATACCACTGAAACTATCTTAGGCACAGGTGAAAATGGCAGCAATAGTGGTATTTGACAATGCCTAATTAATGTCAACCACTACCGATTGCACCATCTCAGCCCCTCCTCTATCTTAGGCTCCCACAATGCCACTCAACCACTAGCTCTTCCAATTATATCTAATTTAACACTAAAATACTCATATAAACAGCATACTAGATGTTTTGGGATGAAATAGTTTTAAAGTCTTTGACAATGACTAATTATTGTTGTTATTATTATTTTGACAAGTAAGATACACACACCATATCCCAATTGAGACTTGAGTTCTATAACCACCCCCAACCCTCCCCTCCTTCTCTGGGTGCGATGGGAGAACTGCTAAAGCAAACAGCTAGCTATAGCAATGGGTTTTGCTTTTCATTGCTGAAATGGAGTTTCAGTAATAGAACTAGCACAGCACATTAATTCTAACATTTAAATAAAAAAATTGAAATTAATCCTATCACTTAAATAAAAAATTTAAGATATCAATATTCACAACTAAAAATCTAGATGAGTTTGCATGCATGTAAAATAATCAGTCACCATGAGAAGAATATTGTTGTTGATGTACAGACGATTTCCTCGGTGTCGCAGCACCAATACGCATGGGCCTGCTTGAACAATATACGCCATTCATTTCAGTCATGGCCTGTGACCATTCATTCTCATCTCCAAACCTCACAAATCCATAACCTTTTGAACGGCCAGTATTGGCATCAATGACAACTTTAGCAGCTTTAACAGATGGATATTTACTAGCAAAAGTTTCATGCAGTAAGCTATCAATAACATCTGAAGCTAAATCTCCTACGAATATAGAAAAATCAGAACCATTATTTGAACGCTTATCACCCATGCCAAAAGTAGCCCAGTTCAGACGGAAAGGTTGTTCTGCATTAGGCATCACACAGCCAGTATAGTTCTGTAGAACTTTCTCAGCTGCAGCATGTGAAAAGAACTCCACAAATCCATAGCCCTCTGACGAACCAGTTAGTTTATTGCGAATAAGCTTAATGGAAGTAAGCTGCATAAGAAGTGAAAGTATCTGTTAGCAAAAAAGGAATAAATTATAGAGCAATGATATAGAACCCAACAAAATATGCTGACTATACAAACTGACCAAATAATATTCTTTCACGTATTCACATGGGGTCCATATTATGTCATTTGTTCCAATTTTCGTTCATCCTATTCAGTCGGTTAAGTCTTTCAGTCTCTAAAAGTTGTGTAAAATATCATTTTTCCAATAATAATTGTGGAACCATATTGTGGGAACTATCTCATGGAATTTATATTGAAAACCAGGTTAAGCAGAGGTATCTTCAAAATAACATTTAGTTACAATGCAATGAATTATAATTTTCATATAACATAAAACGAGTAGACACCTTTTCACGTCCATAAAAACATTAAGGCGTGAAGTTTTTTATTATTATTTCCCATGATACCCCTTGGTTATGGAATAAATTTAATGGTGGGTTTGGAGTATGAAAAATAAGAATGCATTAACTAGGTCAAAAAATTAGGGAAATACTCATCTCCAATAAAGTATAAAATAAAATTTGGGTTCTTAATTGAGGTCAACAATTATCAGATCAGAGGGTATTTGGTGTAACTAAAATTGCAAATTTTATGTTAAAGATCCCAAGTTATAAAATTTTACCTTCACTGGAAAGTTTTCATGTATATTTAATTTTTTTTAAGAAGTATCATAGCAATGGGAAAATAGGAGAAAAAAGGTATCATATAAAGGCTTCTTTTAATATAGAAGACATAAGCCTCAAATATGTACAGTTTGTACATGGATATAGTCCCTGTATGGGGACGGAAAGAATGCAGATGAATCTGTAAATGCATCAATCGAATTTTAAAGAAACATAAAACAAAAGGAATGTCATTTTTGGAAGTAAAAAATGACAAACAATATAATGTGTTCATGCATGTACAGTATCATATACAAAATGTATATTTTACTGCATTGTGTATGTGTAATGATCAGAATATGATCCATGATGGTGATACATATCACCTAGCATATAAATTGTATCATTCATGTATCAAATCCTGTAGCATAATTCTTTTAAACACAATTAACTAAGTGCTTATTTAATGAAGTGTGTTTGACAGTAAAATCTGATTCCACTTGCCAGGAAAAGGTTTCACTTAAAATTCTAAATGAAATAGATGTCAATTATATTAATAAAAAAAAATTAAGCACTTATTTTCAGTTTTATCAAACATCACCTTACTTTCAACAGGCAGTTTCGAGATATGCTGCTAAAGAGGGCATCTATACCTGAATCATAGAAGCATCCAAGATAGTTGATTTTTTGGACTCTTAGAGAGTAAAGAGGCCCTATTTGGCCTTGTGTAGCTTTTGTGGGGTGCGTTCCCCTTTTGAAGGCTCCTTAATACAATCAATCTTATTAAAATAATAATAAGAATAATTAAAAAATAATAATCATGGGAGCATCCAAGAAGATTATCTAAACTAGAAATGGGCATTAACACATCAAAAAACCATTCCAAACACAGTATTGTTTAAATATAGGCAGAGCGTTAACAAATCCCTAACTGACCAGTATATCAACCACAACCATTTCAAATGTCAAAAATGTCCTTGTCTTATCAAATCAATAGTTTCAGTTATCAAACTGACTATATATACTCATCATAAATGTAGCAAAAGGAGAAGCTTTGGCAACAAAAGCTAGCAACTTTAACATTTCACATACAAAGTGCACATATTTTGCCAAAACAAAGTACTTTCCGTGTCACAAAACTTTTAATTAACATGGAACTCTGTTTAAACACTGTAAACAACACAGATTCATATCAAGTCCTACAATTTAACCAAACAACGTCCTACAGATACACAAATCTACACTACCTGAGATAGATATTATATATGCAAATACAGATGAAAAGGTGAGTGAGAATAGACCTCGCCGGTGGAAGCGAAGCAGCTGTGGAGGTAGTCCTCGTCCATCCAATTGTGGAGGTCGCCTACCCAGATCGTCTTATTCTCGCCGTTGGATTGCTGGTGTTGTTGTTGATGCTGCTGGGGTTGGTAGTGATGGTGGTGGGCGTGGTACGGCATGTAATGTGGCGGGTAATGCGGCGGAATCATCTGGGGGTGCATTACCATCGCCGCCGGATACTGCATCGCCACCCACTGTTGCTGTTGCTGTTGCTGCTGCTGTGGTGGCTGTGTTGGTGGCGGCGCCGCCGCAGCCGGCTGCTGTTGATTCTGTGGTTGTTGCGGATCAGAACCGTTACTGGATTGCATCTTTATTTCTCTCTTTTTCTTCTTCTAAAATTTACAGGGAGAAGATTGAGATGTTAGAGCAAAAAACAGATGATGCGTGTGTAAGCGTGTGTTTGTGTGTGTGTTGAATCTGAGTAAGAGAGCTGTGTGTTGGGCTGGGAAGGGAAGGGATACATGGAGGCCATTGAGAGTATTTATTTGAGGATGAGTGGGGATTCAAGGAAACCCTTCTCTGACGGCATTGTATTTTGGGCCATTTAATTATTTCCTGATTTTCGAAAAATAAAATAATAATAATAAAAAAAATAATAAGGCAATGACATGTCATTAATTAAATACAAACACGAATTGATGGTCCACAAATAAAAATAAATAGTACTACCTCCGTCCAAAATGAATGTTCCTTTTAAAAAATTATGGCACAAAATTACGAGTCCAGTTGATTGTTTTTATTTATTGAAAAAATATTGAGTGCGCCCAATATATCGTAAACCTGATTTATTTAAATCGTATACATATATGTGTTATATACATACATTTCGAATGAGCCAATACATTGTGCACCCCGACACACTTAATATATATTCCTTACTTATATGGACAAAATATAATTAATCAAGATACCATGTTGCTACAAAAATCTTTCTTGTGATTTTGATAAAAATTAAATTATATTGTTCGAGTTTTAGGCTAAGTTTGTTTCAACGTAAACTATTTTTTTTGAAATTTTTTTTTTGAGGTAAAATATTCTTTTATTTTTACTTTGTCGATATTTGGCAAAGGTTTACGTCGAAATTCAAATCGAGTCCATCGAGCAAAGCATGTAAAATAACTTGTCGAAAAGTGATGGATAAGAGCATATCCAATGCCCTCTCAAATGATTTCTCAAACTCAAAATATAACAAGTGTATGAAAATAAGGCATTCCAATGACTTCTCAAAATATCCCTTATATTTTGAGATCGTCAAAAGTATTGTCAAATATAGCAGTTCTCAAATGGCCTCTCAAACTCAAAATATAACAAGTGAATCAAAGTAAGGCACTTAAGTGGGCTCTCAAAAGACCTTTCATATTTTAAAATTGTCAAAAGTTGCAAAAATGAAATAAGGCACTCCAATGAGCTCTCAAAACATGGAATGGTTATTGTGTCAAAAAATAGTATTTTAGATGAAATGCATATGGAGCAGAAATGCAAAAATATAACATTTTGATACCATAGTTCCAAACATAGATTTGACATGGAAATATAGCATTTTGCATTGGAGATGTTCTAAGTTGTTTTTGTTAAATTTTAATATATTTTTTTTCTTAAATATTTTACGACAACCAAACACCAAAAAAAATATAAAAATATATTTTCTGAAAAATATTTTACGTCCAAACAAACAGAGTTAATCAAAGATCTAATTTTAATGATACTTTGTTATCACCAATCAAGCTTTAAGTACCAAGTAATAGCAAACTTTTAATAATATGCTTAAGTTGATAATTAATTTTTTTAATTAAAAGCTTGCACTAAACTCCCATGTACTATTAAAAAGTATTAAAATACTCTCATTACTTTTTTTTTTTTTTTTTGCCTCTAATTACTCTAAATTTATAAAAGTTGCAAATTATTTACTCGAACATTGAAATTTTGGTGTTAAAGTTGTAACGTACAATGCACATGACAGATGGGCCGATTGTTTTCACGAAAATAACTTACTCATTTTATTCTTTATAATTGATTTTACAAATGACATGTCAATGATGTTTGTTGCATGCGTAAGGTTATTTTCATCAAAATACTCTGCCCATGCTTCACATGCAACCTTAGTACCGAAAATTCTAAAATCCGATAATTTGTAACTTTTGATAAATTAAGAGTGCTTAAAAAAAAAAAGAAAAAAAAAGGAGTAATTTGTAACCATTTTTTTTTTTTTTTTTTTTTTAGAATAAAGGGTTTAGTGCAATTTGGCTTTAATTAAATATTGAATTAAGTTTATGGTTTACTTTTTATTTAGGGTAAATTCCACATACCTCCCTTGAGATTTTTTAATATTTCACATAGACCCCACTACGTTTTATAATTTCACTTGCCACCTATGTTATTGACTTTTTTTTTCGTTTAATCCATGAAATGTTTGCTGTCATTTTAAGCATTAGAATGGCAAATTTTGACAAATGCGAGAGAATTTGTTAATAAATCAGATCCTCAGGCAAGTGAAATTATGAAAAATAGAGCGAGTCTGTGTAAAATTGTAACGATCCCAAAACTAATAACTTTTAAACACAAAAATAAAAAAATAAAAAAAATAAAAAAAATAAAAAAAATTGGCATGACCTCCCCTAAAAATAGGCCTACCATACCCTGTTTAAATTCATTTTTAACCTATCATGGCTCAAATTCCGAATTCACGGCAATAGTAGATGATAATACACAATCAAATTACCTCAATAATACTTTAAACTAGTATTACTCTCCCCATTCATCAATAAGGTTTACATGTTATCAAATTCACATCCAAAATATCATCAAATACCTTAATTACATTACATGACAAAGTTTTGCAAAATATACATGTACACCTTCACACTTTTAGTGCTTTGCAAAAATAATGGAAGATATACAAAAGACACAAAAGTGAGCTTCTAGTATCGCTCAAGCTTAAGGTGGGTTGTCGTCCACCGGTTCTTTTCCAAGAGCTGAAAAAAATGTATAAATAGTAGGGTGAGCTATATGCTCAGTAGGTGACACTTAAGATACAAATCTTGTATCCTTGTGAATTCAAGAAAAGCATAGGCCAATGGGAGATAGGGATCATACAACATAGGGGATCAAATACAACATACAAGTCAATTCCAAGTATAAACAATGCAATGCAATGAAATGCAATGCATGTCAATGACACTCCCCATTTTCATTCTCAAAACCATCACTTTCAAACGTTAATACAGCTCGCCCTTTGGTAACCCCGCCGCGACACGAGAGGAGGATTGGCTAGTGTCCTTGACCCTTGGTAACTCCGCGGCGTCATTATGGGGCCCAGCTAGCTCAACCACGCTAGGGCGACTCCCTAGTCCCCTCTAGGCTATATTAACCTCCGGCCCGTTGGTAACCCCGCAGCGACCGGGTTTCGCATAAAATCATTTCATCAAAAACACTTTCCCGAAATTTCCCCTTTTTGAAGTAAATCAATTATTTCCCTTTTCCTGCCCAATGTTAATGCATGAATACCTCAATGACATACACAAGTTCATCATTCCATACTTTATCCAATTTAAGCAACATGATATAATTCGCAAGAATAATCAAGAAAGTCATAACATGCTTATACATAACAAGTTCTAGCACAATGAACATATATAATCAAGTCCTAAACATGCTTCACATAGAACAATCAACAAATATAGTCACACAACTAACATATATGCATACATATCAACAATTCTCTAGATTTTAAACAACCAATCAAATTAAACAACAATTAGAGGCAATTAACTCACTAAGGTACAAGATTTCATGAATTAAGGGCCCCTACCTCAAGATTGCACCAAAACCGTAGAAAATGGGTCTCAAGATTCGAAATCCAAAGGGGCACAAAATCTAAAATTGCTTGTATGGATGTGTAGAACTTGACACGAGTTTCGTTTTGCCTCAAACGGCACCTCAATCCGACAAAAGGTGGAGGAGTAATCTAAGAATGAAGTTTGAGTTCAAAAAGAAAAAGAAAAATCAAGAAATAGAGACAGAAGGAAGGGCCAGGGGGAGAGAAGAAAAATGGAGACCAATTGTAGTCTCAAACCCTTTTTGGGTGTGGTTGTGGGTCCCACCAAAATTTTAATTTGTTTTCTCTTTTTCTTTTACTCAATATATATCACACAATACACATATACTTATACAGACATCACAAAAATATTGATAAATATCAAGGGAAGTAAGTGTAATTTACCCTTTTATTCACAAGTAATACACACTCATTTTATCCCTTAGCCAGAGGCAAACCACATTAGTAGTCAACCATGAGAGAAAAATTTAACTAGTCGGTTGTAGTGATAATATGGTACCAACAAATTATTAAATATTGACACGTAATGATAGGACTTACTAAAATAAAAATAAAGTACTTTTACTTGTTGATACAATTGGTTGATGACACAGAAAAGTAAGTATTAAAAGTGCAGGAAAATATGACACACGCCATATCCGACCATCTTTTTCTACCAGACATACATGATACAACCCACCTTGTCCATCAACATCCTCTTTACAAAACTGAGCAGATTAAACTGAATTCAAGGTTTGATTGACAATTTCCCAGAAGATATGTAATATATATATATTTCCAGATTCCTTCTTTGTTCATATTTCTCTCTCTTTTGTGTGTGTTTATAGTAATATTTCTAAGTTGGGCTCCCAAAAAGCAATGGTATCTGTACAATCACGGAGCTTTTAGATACTTGTAGTTAGTACCAACTACCAAGTGTTCAAGTACCAACAGAATGACAGATAGAGCTGATGGTGGTACAAGTTAACAAGAGAATTTTGCTTTTTTTACCCCTTTTAAGTGATGAGTTCAAAATAAAAAGTTTTGGGTCGTTTATAAATGCTAAAGAAGGAAAAAATTGCAATAAGGAGTAAAAACTTTCATATTGTTTTCATCTCCTATTCTTCTTGTCTATTCTAAAAATGGGGGAAAATTAAAGGAAATTTGTCCTATGATGAGACAAATAGCATTTATGTTAAATGTTTTAAGATTTGAATATGATTGTGTAATGTCTCGTTTCACCTCAAAATGAGTTAGAACTTGAAACCTAGTTGCAAGAAAGCCCATTGTTACCATTGCATGGCAGAATGTAATTGTGTTCTTCCACCCAAGTGGTGGGATTAAATACGCACAAATATATATATATATATATATATATATATTAATTTTTGAAATGTTTCTGCATTCTAAATTATGTAAAGTAAAAAACCCATTCCAGAAAAATGTTCTATTGAGTTCTAAGACATTTACCATATATGTTTCGGCTAATTAAAAATCGGTGGTGAAGTCAGAAATTTACGCACAAATATATATATATATATATATATATATATTAATTTTTGAAATGTTTCTGCATTCTAAATTATGTAAAGTAAAAAACCCATTCCAGAAAAATGTTCTATTGAGTTCTAAGACATTTACCATATATGTTTCGGCTAATTAAAAATCCGTGGTGAAGTCAGAAATTTACTTAAGTATTAATAACCTTTAACAATAATATCATAAAGAAATGTGAACCAAAATAATAAATAGAAAATTATTAATTGATAATATTTTCATGCCATACATTTATAACTTTTCTCCACAATGTTTCATATTTTGAAAACATTGAATAATAAGCAATCATTCATCTATTAATCTTTGTGCAATTGGTAAAATTAATGTCAATATTTTATATATATATATATACACATGTACAATCACTTACAAATCACTAATTTACGGTTCGTCGCAGGCTGATCCTTTATGACATGGCTAGGTTGGCCCAATTACTACATCTGAAAAACTATGGGGTGGCCCAGATCAACTCCGTAGATTCGAGAATAAGTTGGCCCAATTACTACGGGCGAAAAAGATGATGATGCTAGTGGCCCGATGTTTCTTTTTTATCTAAAACACGTCAGCCTAAAACATATTTCTTAAAGCACGCTTTACTTTCTTTCGTTAGGCATGGTTTCCTACACTCGTTTTTTTATTTTTTATTTATTTATTTTTAACTATCTAAAACTTATTTTAGGTAGTCTATCACAAGTTATTTTGTTGTTAGATGTTTAGATTTTCGACTTTATATAGATTTATAAATGTTTTTATACATTTTATACCTAATTAATTCCGGTCGCTTGCATAGTTTTATTGGGAAAAAAATAAAAATGCATAGACAATGGAAATATAAATTTTTTTTTTCAACACGTATTTGCGCTGTTGTCTACTGAAAGAAAGTCTAACCAATGATTGGTGATTATTGGTTCAAAACCACACGTAAAAGAGTTAAGTAAAGTTGATTTGATAGTAAGCAATCAAATTTTCTTCATATAGTTTACATTTTCTTCTCGCTAAAAAATGATTTCCTAAATTTGTTCTCACAATAAAAGTGGAATTTTTTTTCTAAGTGTTAAAAAGAAATTTCTATTAATTGAATTGATAGATATTTGTTGTTTTTTATTGCAAAAAAATACATTTACACATTTGACCCACTTCAGAAGATAAGAAAGTACTACTAAGCTACAGGGCTTAGTTACGTGAATGAATTAGATTGGAAGTATATATAATTGGACTTAGAACAAATTTAATATTTTTATTTTTTTATTTTAGTTAACCAGGATGTCCGGGTTAACACGAACCTTTAGGGCCCCTCAACAACTCGACTAATTTCCGAGAATTCGGAAGGGCACCTTCCTACTCAGGCCAGGTAAGTCACTGTATGGGCAGCGGAGGCTAGTCATAAAGAACACTCAACAGGACTCGACCCCCAGACCTTGGACTTGCTAAGCTTCAAAATCTAGTAAGTACACTGCTAGGCCATATCCGAAGTGTTTAGGGGTGAACAATACTATAATAATGAATTGCAATAAAAAATATAGAACAAAAAGTACAAGATAAAGACAATGATTAGGGGCGAACAAGGATCAAATCAAATTGGTTGGATTAAGCATTCCACCTAATCCAATTCCATCGTTACGGAAACTTTAGTTTATGAATTGGATTGGATTAGATTAAGTATTTACACTGGTCGAATCATATTCATTATACAAATGCTAGGCTATTCAATAATATATGATTCACAACAAATAATAATGAGGCTAGGCTATTCAGCCTTGTATGATATAAATGTTTAATCTATAATAAACAACAATAAGGTTGAAAGTACTCCACCTCTCGAACAATTTCAATAAGAAAAAAAAAAAAAAAAAAAAAAAAAAAACTAAAATAGTGCAATTATTTGGGCTCTGTATTGGTCAAACCCATCAATAAAATGTTTATGAAGATGAAATAGTGCAATTATTTGGGCTCTGTATTGGTCAAACCCATCGATAAAAATGTTTATGAAGATGAAATGAAGAGTAAAGTATGTTTTAAGAATTGTGAATGCAATGGCTTGTTCCTCTTTGTCTTAGGAGTCTGACAACGAATGGATTGTTCCTTTTTGTCTTAGGAGTCTAATTTTGGGCCTCCGTACCCACTAACTTATTATATAATCTAACATTCTTACTTTGAAAAAAAAAAAAAAAAAGGAGGTCTTTAGAGTTAAAAATTAGAAAAAATTAAATAAAATAGAAATAGTGTGTATAATATACGTATATATTTTTTATAAATTTAAATATTTCAAAAAATAAAAGAAAATATAATCAGTATGGATTGAATTGGATGGAATAATGGAATCAATTTTATGTATTCACGAATCAAGTAGAAGTCGGTTATGATGATAACAATGACAATGACATTGCCGTAGATTTCCTCTCCCTCCTTTTATTTGTGAAATCGATTTGCAAAAGACATCAGAAAAAGTGAAAGCAAAAATTGACTACCGGCAAAATAGGAAAGTGAGAAAAAGAACGTGTGTATAATAAAGAAAAAAACGAAGAGAGAAAAAACACCACAAAAAAAAAAAAAAAAAAAAAAAAAAACCGAAGAAAAAAAGGTACTGTAGGAGTTGTTTTGGATTTTGAAAATTCTGCCCTTTTCTTGTACACCAAACACTCGTTAAAGTACTGAAGAGGAAGTCATGGGAAGGTGGTGCGAATATGCCATTTTATGGTTCCTCGCAGACATTCTCAGATGCTAAGTCGGTTCCATATTCCCCCATTATATATATATATATACATATATATATACGTCGACGTACGCGTTCCCTTCACTTTACTTTTTCTCATTCAGGTACTTTCTATTTCTCTCTCTAATAATTTTCTTAGTCCTTCTCTTCCTCTCTTTAATTTGATTTTCTGTTCTTACAATTTTTGAATCCTTGTTGGTAGTTTATGTTCAATCGTTTGTTGTTTGATTCGAATTTAATTTATTGTTTTTGGGCTCTTCATTTCTTCTTCTTCTTTTTTTTTTTTAGATACAAATTTTCTTTTGTTCTGGTTTAACCGTTTAAACTTTACAGCAAACCCTAGTTCTGTTTAAATGAATCATGGGTTTTGTTTTTCCCTGTGTTTCCAGGCTATATAGCCCTAATTTGAACTGTTATTCGTACATTTCTATACATATATGTATTTATATCTTTATATAAACACACGCACGTGCGTGGAAATGTGGAATGGGGTGGAAATTTATATATTGTGGGATGTTGAAGATATTCATCTCATTTTTGAAATCAGTTTCGGTTTCACTTAATTTTTATGGGTGTTTTTGCTTAACCGCTTTATTTGGTTATAGGCTGTTATAATTGTTGGAAATTAGGTGCATTTTACAGAAATATAGTAGTTGCAGTAATACTAGGCATGAGGTCTGCTTAACAGTTGGTCAGAACCTTTTTAGTTATTTATTTATTGAGGTTTTTTGGTTCGTGGCATTGCTTGATAGAAACAATCAGCAATAATTATACTCGAAATGTTCTTATAACATAAAGTTGCTAACTTTAGAAACCAGTTGATCAGAATATTAATCCACCAAACCTTCCTCTTATTCTTCTTCTTCTTTTTGATTGAATTAGGATGAATTTATTTATTTTAGTAGAGTTTGATGAGTGTTATCTTCTTGTTTACCCTAATATGATTAGTTACTTGCATTTTTTTTTTGTTTTTGTTATATATAGACTACAAAGCAATGAAGTAATTTCGGAAGTACTAATTTTTTTTTAAAAAAAAAAATTCTTATGAAGGTTTCAAGTACCGGTCTTTCTGGTGGATTTGGTGCTTCCAAAGTGGATATTATTTTCAAGAACTTGAATTAAAGTGAAAAAGGGGAATTGATGGGCTCCGAACGGCAATCTGTTGGTTTACTAGATACCCTGAACATGGAGAGGGTCAGGACCATTTTTACCCATACGTATCCTTACCCACACGAGCATTCACGTCATGCTATTATTGCTGTTTTTGTGGGCTGCCTATTTTTTATCTCATCAGATAACATGCACACTCTCATTCAGAAGTTAGACAACAACATCAAATGGTGGTCAATGTATGGTTGTTTGCTCGGTTTCTTCTATTTCTTTTCATCTCCATTTATAGGGAAGACAATTAAACCAAGCTATTCGAATTTCAGTCGGTGGTAAGTTTTTGCTGTCTTCTGTTTCATCCACAATCCATGTGTGGGCATAGACTTGTATTATTTATAGCACGAAGAGTTAATTAGATTGAGTTGATGGTAAATTTTGGCAGTTTTTCTTTTACAGGTATATAGCTTGGATTTTAGTAGCAGCCCTCTATCATCTTCCCAGTTTTCAATCAATGGGAGTGGATATGAGAATGAATCTATCTTTGTTCTTGACAATATTCGTATCATCTGTTTTGTTTCTTCTTGTTTTCCATGTCATATTCATTGGCCTCTGGTATATTGGACTGGTTGCTCGTGTGGCTGGAAAGAGGCCTGCTATCCTGACCATTCTTCAAAATTGCGCTGTAAGTCATGTAGACACATATTGTGCTAAAACAATGTTATTGGTTTTTAGGTCTTAGCTTTTCATGTAAACTATGATTTTGGTTTGATGTCCTCATGATTCATGTAGGTTTTAAGTATTGCCTGCTGTGTATTTTATAGCCACTGCGGCAACCGTGCTATTTTGAGAGAAAAACCTTTTGAACGAAGAAATTCTGGTTGGTTTTCTTTTTGGAACAAACAAGAGCGTAACACATGGCTTGCGAAATTCCTCCGCATGCATGAGTTGAAAGATCAGGTCTGCTCATCTTGGTTTGCTCCAGTTGGGTCCGCCAGTGATTATCCGCTTTTGTCTAAGTGGGTTATTTATGGAGAGGTATGGTTTCTAGGCATATATTTCATCAAATTTTCCTGCACACGCTGTGGGGGTCTTCTGTTATTACCTCTTTTCCGTTTTCTTCCTTCCAGTTAGCTTGCAGTGGCTCATGTCCGGGATCATCAGACGAAATTTCTCCCATATATTCATTGTGGGCCACATTTATTGGTCTGTACATTGCCAATTATGTGGTGGAAAGATCAACGGGGTGAGTGTCAAGTTGTGACTTGATCTTTTTATGTGTATAATATTATTTTCTCAAAAGGAGCAATGTCTTAATGAAGCTTCTTGCCTAGTTGAGATCTCTATGGCTGTTTGTCAAGCTTATGTTGGTTTTGGCAGGGACTTTATAACGTGTAATTACATTCTGTTGTGCTCGTTTTATTTTTATTTGTGTGTCTTGTTTATTGCCACTGGGGCCGAGAGGGGGGTGGGGGTGGGAGTTTGTGGCTTATGTTAAGTTGATGTTTTGATCATTTATTTGTGGCATTGTGCCATTGTCCAGTTGATGAACTGTCAACTGCATGCTTCATTACGTGTTAGTGATGAGTGGTGGATTGAGTATTTCTTACTTCTTGATTACACAGTGAGGATAAAGAAAAAGGTTTGCCTTTCTGATGGTTTTGTTTGTTTTAACCTATTTCCAACTTTTAGATTAATGCTGTTATAGTTGTTTATTTTTTAGATGGTAGAGACAGTATCCTTTCCCTACAATTTTGGCAGAGGGAAAGAAGTAGAATACCATGTCAAGTGTCTATAGTCTCATATTTTTGCTGCTGTAGAACTTATCCTAAGACAGTATCCAGGTGCCCCAATTGTGGTGGCACGGGAAAGAAGTTTGGATGCTGTGACAAGTGTTAAGTGTGCTCATGATTTCAAACAATTAAAGCCCATATCATAGTAATTTATTCAGCAATCAGCATCCCTTACTTCATTTATATTTGACAATTGACAGATGGGCTCTTACTCACCCTTTATCAGTCAAAGAATTTGAGAAGTTGAAGAAAAAGCAAATGAAGCCTGATTTCTTGGATATGGTTCCTTGGTATTCAGGGTATATATTATTTATTTCTTCACGCCTGTCAATTTTTTTGAAGTGGTGTGAGGTGGGTCCTGGGAAAGGGGAAATGAGTGAAAAGCTTTTTATTTTTAGTAGCGTTGCTAATGACCATCTGTTGCAGGACATCAGCTGATTTATTTAAGACGGTTTTCGACCTCTTGGTGTCTGTAACTGTATTTGTTGGACGCTTTGATATGCGTATGATGCAGGTATATTTTTTTGTTATTCCATATTATTATGTGGCCTCCTGTTCTTCTGCTGTATGTTTTTATTCTTTCAGCAATGTCCATAATCTCTCTCTCTCTCTCTCTCTCTCTCTGAATATTGTCTTGGAACTTAGCAAGATCTTTTGTGAGTCACGGAGATTGCAAGAACTGTAATTCTTTTGAAGGATTTGGGATCTTTCTTCTTGATAGGATTAACTGAGTGTTATATGAACAATAAGCTCTTTTTTAGCACAGCTTTTCACAGGACCATGATAATTACAGGTTTCTATATTATTAGCTATGACTATTTATCAAAAAAAAAAAAAAAAAAAATTAGCTATGAGTAGTTTTCATTTTTTCAACAGCCCAGTTATAACTTTACTGTGCCCACCGAAGTATGTCCATTTTTTTTCCGCACAAACTTTTAGTATGTTTCTATTCTTAATATTTCTATTTTGTTTTTATAGCGGGTTTACAGTCTATTCATATAACTTCATTGATCAAATCTCGTATATATATGAACGATTTCTGGTCATTGTCTCTCATTCACATGTCATCAGGCGGCAATGAGTAGGGTTCAAGATGGAGCTCAACAGGAGGATTTTCTGTATGATCATTTCAGTGAAAAGGATGATCTGTGGTTTGACTTCATGGCAGATACTGGAGATGGTGGAAACTCCTCATATTCTGTGGCACGGCTACTTGCTCAACCTTTTATCCGGCTTCGCAGTGATGATGATGCTGTGTGTACCCTGCCACGTGGAGACCTACTCCTTATTGGGGGTGATCTTGCGTAAGTTTGACCATTTTCCTATATATTATTTACATTTATGATCCATAGATTGTTGAATTAGATTACATATTAACTGTCATCTGCTGATTGGTCTTTCAGCTATAACATTAATAGGCTCTTCTGTACATAGTCTTATCAAGGATCAGATTTTTTTAGTTCGTTGATGATTGTGATGTGTATGGACTAGAGATACTTTTATTCTTGACCTTTCCTTTTGGTGTGTATGAAGCATCTGGAAGGAAAAATGACATGCAATCTACTAGGATGATTTTAATGGCCTACCAGGGGCACACTTCCTTCGGTAGTATAATTATTGTTTCTGTTGTCATTATAAACTACTTCGTTGTTCTTGTTGTGGTGGTGTTGAACTCTTTCAACTACAAATCTGAAGTCATGTAAGAATGGGATTGTCAAGTCCTCCTTTTGAATATAAAAGGGCACTTATTCTTTACTTTTGATTTGCTATTTCAAGATTTTCATTGATGAATAGCCGCGTATTAAGTGCGCCATACTCTAAGAATATAATTTTTTTATTTTTTTATTTTTTAACAAGGTAGTTACTTTAATGATGGGCAATGAGGTATATTTGATTTGGGACCTTATGGTGAAATTCAGATGGGGAATTGGATTATTAATCTTTATTTACAAATTCTTTCCTGGAGGGTGTAGTGCACTTTGAGTGCTGGATCTGGAAAGTCTCCCTAAATACAATGTTTGATTGGGATTTAGAAATTTTAAAGAGAAATGTGCCATTTACAAACCATTTTTAAAGATATTTGATGAAAGCTACGGCCTAGGGGAGCAGATGGATAGTGACACCAACCTAGGGAGGCAAGTTGGGCGGGTTAAGGGGTCAACCTGAGCTGAACCCTAGGTACAAAACCCTTGATCGAAGCTTGGCCCAGCCAGAGTACCAGTCTAGCACTCAAAATGGTGTGTATTGGGTGATTATGGGATTAGTAAATGGGTGTAGGGAACTCCATAAGTGACTAGTTCATTTGTGTGGATTAATAAATGCGGGTACCATGTGGAGGGGTGGGTTCCCATTGCGAGGGCGTTTATAGTTATCTCATGCTTGTTATATTTGTTTATATAGTTATACTAGTATAACTGACTGGAAGTGTTCGTCCAGTAGTTCTCGTAGTTGCAATAATCATTTTTTTAAAAATCAAGATTGGGTTAAAATTTACTGTATTTTTCTACAAGATCGAAAAGAATGCATGTGCTAACTCTTTCTTTCTGAGATGCCCAAGATAAAAAGACCAAGAGAAAGAATCGATGAGGAATCTGTAACATAAAATCAATGGGTGCTGGAGCTGCTTTTGCAAGGGTCTGGCCGGGGAAGCCTATGATGGGCACATAGATGTGTTCTGTCCTAATTTGGGTGTGTATTGAGTGACCTTGGGTTAATAAATGGGCGTGGGGAAACCCCAAAGGCAACTAGTCTTTCTAGATGTGGACCCAATTGTGGCATTTGGTTGACCAAAACAGGATAACACTGGATGATTTTGATAATAGTCACTTCGTGCAAAATAATACAAAAAGTTAGGCTCGTCTCTAGTTTTTTTTTTTTCCCCACTCTTTTCACCTTGCAAAAGTAGGTCCAATGCCAAGTAACGCCTTTCTTTTATGATAAGTGAATGGAATCACGTGTTGATGTCTTGTTGTTTGTAAGCACTTACCGTTTTCAAATATTCAGTTCTCATGGCTTACTACATGAGAGGTTGATACTCTAGTGGTTGGTTTAACTAAAAAAGTCGTTTATATATATATATATATATATATACTAATTTATGGTTTTCTTGTAGATATCCTAATCCATCGGCATTTACATATGAAACGCGCCTCTTTCGTCCTTTTGAAAATGCTCTCCAGCCTCCGGCATGGTATAAAGATGACCATGTAGCCATAAACAAGCCAGAATTACCTTGTGGGATGTCTGAGCTGAAGCAGTATGATGGACCCCAGTGTTTTGTTATCCCTGGAAACCATGGTTGGTCTTAGTTCGTAATCTGCTCTTCCTCATAATTTATTATTTTACATGATCAGTGAATAGTTTGTTATTATACTCAGTTATACTCGAGGGCTTTGACCAGCAAAATTCTCTGAACCAGTAGCACCTTTTTGTTTTTAAATTTGGTTTCTTTTAGTTTTTAGCTGTTTAAGTATTGATTGATATAATTATATAGCTCTTTTTTGATTTTACAGATTGGTTTGATGGGCTTCAAACCTTTATGAGGTACATTTGTCATAAGAGCTGGTTAGGTGGATGGCTTATGCCTCAGAAGAAAAGCTACTATGCCTTGCAATTACCTAAAAGGTGGTGGGTATTTGGTTTCGATCTAGCTCTACATTGTGATATTGATGTATACCAATTCAAATTCTTCTCAGAATTAATACAAGAAAAGGTATCTTCTCTCTACTGGCATGGTTTTACACATGTCATTTGTTGCCATTCGGTTTTTAGGATTACCATAAATAGTAGTAGTACAACAGTGGATGAAATTGGAGTGCGTCTCCATGTTCAGTGACATAATATGCTACATAATTATACGTGTTATTTCTTTTATAATCCTGTGTCTGTTAATTATAGCAGAAGCTTATTCAGGGAATTTTTATTTTTATTTTATAGCAGAAGCTTCTGAATCCTACAGTTGTTAATGGGGCAAACAGAAGTGCATTTTGCTTGTGAAATGTAAATGAGAAAAATGATAAATCATGGTTCTTTCCTTGTTGGAGTTTGCCGAATCAGTGCTATTGTTCTCTCCTAAATTTTATTTTACTTACCAAAAAGACAAATTCTTTTGTTGCCTACGATCATATACCTGAGCCTTATTTATGCGTGCAATATTCTGGCCTTTAGTATTACATGATGGAAATTAACACTTCTAAATCTTGCTTTCCGGACCATAATAATCAAAATTATTTAATTTTTGATGCAACAGAAATTGTTGATCTGTTGGGTCAAAAGTTCATTTTTCTTCAATAATTTATATTAGCTTGTGTAGAGGTGAAGAATTTTGATTTATTCTGCTTGATAAAAATAGAATTGGAAAATATTTCATTGTTAAATTTTCAACTTTCTTTCGTTTTTGGATGGTTACTTAAAAGTATTTGGTTGTCACTGGTTTATGGTTATAGTAGTTATGATTGGTGGTTTCAGGAGTCAGTCATGGCCTTGAATCTCCATAGGGTTACTATTAATTAGGTAGGATGATCTTTTGAAGGCTTCATCTTATTTAGGATGTATTGACCACAGTCTGAACAGTGAGAGTAGAACTCTTGATTGGTTATCATTTTTTAGTTTCCTTCTTGGTTTGAGGGTTCCTAGTGCCTAGTGGCGTCTCTGTGACATAACTCTATCCCTCCACTTGACTGGTGTTGTCATTGATATTTTTGCACACGACCAAACTATTTTACTCAAGTTTCTCTCATCTGGTCTGGAAGTTAAAATAATTTTGCCTAGTAAACTATTCACTTCTTAATCTACTGTGAAAATATTTCATTAGGTTTACAAAATCTGTGAATACTTGGAAGATCATGCTAATTGCAGAATACCTGGGTTGTGGATATATCTTTCATATTTTTTATACCTTGCATGTATATGACTCTTTGTTGAGCCAATATTTAAAAAATAAATTCTTAAGTCATTTTATCTTAAAAAATATGAAATCTGCGAATACCACATTGTTCTCATTCCAGACCATGGTGCAACTTTTAATATATTGAGTTAGTGAATCATGTTCTATCATTCAAGAGCTAGTTTCAATTACCTTCCCTTTCCGTGGTCCTCTTTTTTACTTTTTGGATACAATATTAAGTAGAAGTTCTTTCTAGGTTGGAGATGATGATTCTGTGATCATTGTGACACACGAACCAAATTGGCTTCTTGATTGGTACTGGAATGACACAACAGGGAAGAACATATCATATCTGATACGTGACTGTTTGAAAGGGAGGTGTAAACTTCGAGTAGCCGGGGACTTGCATCATTACATGCGTCATTCATACGTTCCGCCAGATACGCCGGATAAGCCAGTTTATGTGCAACATTTACTTGTTAATGGTTGTGGTGGAGCTTTTTTGCATCCCACCCATGTCTTCAGTAATTTCAACAAATTATATGGAACCTCCTATGAAAACAAAGCTGCTTATCCTTCCGTTGAGGATTCAAGCAGGGTAATGATCCTAAATCTTCTTTATATTACTAAGTTCACTGCTTTTCACCATTTTCCTTGTCATTGATGCTTTAGCATGTTGATATTTTTAATGCAGATTGCTCTGGGCAATATATTGAAGTTCCGAAAGAAAAATTGGCAGTTTGATTTTATTGGTGGCATTATATACTTCGTATTAGTTTTTTCTATGTTTCCACTGGTGAGTTTCATGTTGATCTTTTATCGTTGATACTCTTACAGTCATCCTCATTCATGGCAGCCAAACTTCAGATATTGTTAGTTTGATGCCTGAGTTGGGATGTTTCTAATTCCCCTTTTATTAGACTAGACACTCTTTCCGCCTTACCTAAAAAGATACTTTTTCACCTAACCCAGGCATATCTTAGATTAACTGTTGTTTTGGCTGCTTTGCTGGATTAAATTTCTCTTCTTTTGTTCATACATGTTACCTAGAAAGTATATACGAACTTAATATTTCTGAAAGAGATGGCTGATTATTTTCCTTTTTCCTTTTTTTTTTTTTTTTTTTTTAAAAAATCTAGTGTAAGCTAGATCATATATTGCAGGATGATACATTCTCTGGTCACTTGGGGAGCTTCTTTAGCACAGTGTGGGATGCTTTTATGTATATGTTGGGACACTCGTATGTATCTTTAGCAGGTGCTTTGTCCTTGTTTATAGCAGCATTCTCATTTGTCCCCTCCAAAGTATCTCGAAAAAGAAGGGTGGTGATCGGGATTCTTCATGTTTCTGCCCACCTGGCTGCAGCTCTAATTCTAATGTTGCTGCTGGAACTGGGTGTTGAGACATGTATTCGGCATAAACTGCTGGCAACTTCAGGTGTGTTTCTATGTTCTGTTTGAGATCACAAAAGCTTGGTGATATGTGCATTTCTGATACAAACATGGTTTTGTATTTAATCCATGCTCTCACCTGCTGTTTTTTATTTTATTTTATATTTTGGTCTTTCCTGATCTCCAGTTATCCATGCATGGTTATGTTATGAGTAAATGCAAACTTCTGGTGGTGTAGGCATAAATATATATTTTAGACCTCAAGCGTGGACACTATCATAGTTAGAGAAGCAGTTGAGAAGAGGGTTGTTGATATATTTGAATTACCAATGATTAAATTTATGGAGATTGACAGGGTCCTGATATGATATGGAACTAATTATCAGCTTGATTAATATATCATTGGGTCCTTCACCGCCAATGCGGATGGAGTGCATAATATTTTTATTTTTTTATTTTTCCCTTTCAAGTGTGGAGGTTTTAGACAATTTCATATTATGAGAATTTAAATTGTTTTTCCAGGATATGTGATAGATGAACTGTTTCCATCTTTAAAAAAATGTGGCCATGCCTTTGATTTGGTCCTTCCCATGGAATTCTGATATCCTTGAGTAGAAGAATGCTGGCCAACGATCTTAAGAACATTTCAAGTCTGCAGTGTAAAGTTATAATTTTTCAAAGAGAACTCAAAAAAGTTTACTTGTGCACAGTAAGCATACATTAGGGTATATAACTTACCAAACTTAAATCTATCATAGCGCAAGTTTTTTGTAAGCCACAGTTGGGAAACAATTTCAAATAATTGAGTGTGTTTTCAATAAAAATTTGATGATTATTTTCTGAATATTCTGAAGGGAGAGGATATTTTTTGTCAGGATCCACCACCACACTGTCAACAATATTGTCCGCTTTGGGTTCCCTCTCACAGCTTTAGAATGTGTTGCCTCGTATATTCTTAGCAACTCCTGCCTTGTGATGTGGATCCCGTCCACAAGTGTTCGCGACGCTATCACACACGTGACCTCACATGTGTGGCTCAAGTTGCCGGAGTGTGGTGAACACTGTGGACATGACTCACATTGCTTAGGAAAGCAGAAGTTGCTGAGAAAATAAATGGGGATTGCACACCATATGTTAAAAATGTGTTTTAAAGTGGTGAGGGGGATCCAAAGCAAACAATATTGTTGACTATGGTGGTCGGCTGTGACATATAGTATCAGAGGAAATCCCTAACCAAAAGTGTGTGGCAATCCCTCCAAAAGTTGGGCTGACTTGAGCTGTGCAGGTGGGCCAACATTTTGAGCTGCGCACGTGAGGACATGTGTGCGGGGGCATGGTGGACACCTGTGGACAGGATCTCATATCGCTTGTGGAGGCAGAAGTTGTTGATACTAACACAATATTTGTTAAAAGTGCATTTTAAAAGCTGTGAGGGGAGCCTAAAAGGGACAATATTGTTCACTGTGGCGGCGGGTCTTGACATTTTTGGTGAAAATTAGACCTCTCTCTCTATCTCTCTCTCACAGTTAAGGTTATATAAATCCTATAAAAACCAGAGGATACATTGGTAAATATTGCGAATGAGAGTATTTTTCTCTTGTGAAAGTAGATCCAAACACTCTTTCGGTTTTAGGGGTATATAGGGCTTGTTTGGTTTAATTTTCTGAAAGCAGTTCTCAATAATTCAGAAAACTATTTTCAGAGAACTATATAAGACTGTTCTTTGAGAATAACCTTTAACTGAGTTTTCAGTTGACAGTTTAAGAAACTATCAGCCAAACAAATTTTTATACTGTTTTCTAATTTTTAGTTCTCTGCAGACAGATTGCATTTCTCAGAAAACTAAACCAAACAGATCCATAGTTTTATAATTTTAAGAGTTTGTCTGTCCTAATATTGTGATTTGATAGTACAGATTTTGAAGACATGTAAGTTAATCTTGTGACATCAATACTGATAATATGGCTCTCTTATTCATATTTAGGAATTTGTTAACTGATATGGATATTACATAAGTTGATTAATTGAAAATTTAATTTCAGGTTATCACACTTTATATGAATGGTATCGATCAGTGGAGAGTGAGCATTTTCCTGATCCAACTGGCCTTAGGGCTCGTATAGAGAAATGGACATTTGGCCTTTATCCAGCATGCATAAAGTATCTCATGTCTGCATTTGATGTTCCAGAGGTGAGAATTCTCTCCTTATTTGGGGAAATGCAATGTTTTTTTTTTTTTTTTTTTTCCCTTCTCGTATTTTTATTTTTCTTAATCTTTTCTGCTATACTGAATTCATTGGGAGCAATCAATAGGTCATGGCTGTCACCAGGACTAATATTTGCAAGAATGGGATGGAATCGCTCTCTCGAGGGACTGCAGTTATATACTATGCTTCTGTTTTCCTTTATTTCTGGGTCTTCTCAACTCCTGTGGTTTCTTTGGTGTTTGGAAGCTATTTGTACATCTCAATCAACTGGCTCCACTTACACTTTGATGAAGCATTTTCCTCACTTCGTATAGCTAATTACAAGGCATTCACACGTTTCCATATCAACCGTGATGGCGATCTTGAAGTTTTTACCCTTGCAGTTGATAAGGTAAGTGGGTCACTGTGGTGGTTTGATTCTTGGAAAGCATTTAAAATTGAATGAGGGTTCACCTTATCCCAATCTGCACTTCCTTTTGGATCCTGCTTGAAGTTTGATAATGAGGAACCAAGTTTTTTATAATTTTTTTTCATCATGTTGGTGGAAGCATTGTTTTTAAAAGCTCAAAGGCACACTAAGGTGCCAAAGTCTGGAGCCTAAGCGCGTGATGCAAAGCAAGGCAAGAGCTTAATTGAAGCAAGGCCTGGTTGATAAAAATGAATATGAAATATAATTAAAGAAAAATAAAATAAAATATGCATCACAAACTAATCAGGATCAAAACAAAGGAATTTTTCAACATATAAATTAAATGGATAAACTAAAATGTCTTTTAGTTTGCATATGAATTCAATTAATCGATTTACATTCAAAATAAGTCAAATATGCAACACAACTAACCAACAAATTTTTAAAAATAAAATTTTGACATATAAACTTAGAGGATCAAGTACATCAATGCATATAAATCTTTTAAATATGCATATGCATTAAGTAAATCAAATACCCATTGAGACACTCAACAGTAACAATAATCACATATATATTATTATCATAAAAATTCAAAATCATTATACACAATTATTGTATCAAACATTAGACACAATTCATGTAAGTAGTCAGCCATAAGCTCACGAGTTCCATCAAATATACAATAAAATTAAATAATATGATATTACCATCATCTGACGTAGAGTATGTAAATTCATAGTCATTCAAGACAAGGAAATAAAATGATATAAATGAATGATCAAAAAGTAAGAGGCATGCTCTATTTGAGCCTATAGTGTGCTAAAAAGCACGAGCTTGAGGGCTTTACATGAGTCTGACTGAAAGGGCCTGCCATGTGATAGGTTCAGGCACTCCAGCTGAGCCTTGCCTGCTATTTTTTTGTCCTAAGAACGCCTTAAACGCCTATGGGCGGAAGGTTATTGTTAGATAAGTGTAGTGTCGTCAGAGGTGTGCCCGGGCGCGCCTAGGCTTTAGTCTTATACAGGCACAACACTTGCGCCTGTTGTGTGCCCAGGCGCGCCTTGGACAAAACTTTCCCCTTTAATATGGAAAATGAATGCTTTAATAGTAATTTAATTTTTTCAGTTGTGCGCTTAGTTTCACTCAGGTGCGCGCCTTGTGCTAGGCTCCAAAGGATCTCTAGCGCCTTAGTGCACTTTGGGCCTTTGATAACACTGTATAAGTGTATGGAGCCTAAGAGCTGCCCTTTTCATTTTTCATCTTTTTTTCCCATTGCAATAAAGTTAATATTAATCTATGAATGGTATGATGTGCATATATTACAAGCGTAAACTGGTTATTTTTTCTTATCATTAAATTTTGCAATGTTATTGCTGTTGAGGTGTTCCATAGTGACATCATCATAATGGTCCTAAAGAAAACCATGGCATCAGCAATATCAGTTTATCATATGATCTGAGGGTAGAAACCAATACTTTTGTAAAGAGGCTATCACAAGATCTCGGAAGGAGCCTGTTGCAATTGTACTTTGCAGTTTACTGTTCCTTCAACTGTTAAAACAGCTACTGTATGACTTCCCTGCTTGGAGAAATGGTATAGCAACAAGAGCGAAAAACTTGTAGGAAATATAGGTGACTTGACATGGGTGGTGTCGGAGATGACATTTAAGACGGGAGTGTGGCAGATTGAGAATCACATTGAAATAATGTTTGAGCATGTCTGATATGCTTGCTCAAGAGAGGGTAGCACGTGTGATTTTTGCCTGTGATCACACTATGAGAACCATAAGGGGAGAGTGGGGATGTTTTACTTTAATTATTTGATATAGTATAGTAGAAGGTAGCATGTGATTGCACTATGAAACCCTTCAGTGGAGTGGTGAGATGTGGGAGAGAAATGAATTGCTTTCATCTAGGTAGGGAGGAAGGTTTTACTATTATCTTTCAAGTATGGTAGAAGGTAGCACACATGATTGCACAGTGAGAACCAAAAGTGGAGTGGAGAGATGTGGGAAAGAAATTAATTGCTTTCAGCTACTTTTATGTGAAGCTTTCCTTTTCTTCCCTTAACTACCCTCTGTGCCCTTTATTTATTCTTAGTTGACTTTAGAGGAATGGGGATAATCTGGAAATTTTATACCTACCAAAAAAAAAAAAAAAATGCACATTTTATAATTGAGAGACCATCAGACGAAGCAGGAGACAAAAAGGGCTTTTGGCTCAATGTATGGTATCTATTTTAATGCAAAGCATGTTTTCCTTGAATTTTCTGTGTCACCCGGCTTACTCCAAAAATCAGGTATCTATTTTTTTTTTTTTTAATTTTTCTTTTCTTTGGCCCATGGAAAGGCACATGGTTGTTATTTGAATTTGGGTTTTGACTCTTTTGACAGCTATTAGTGTTCCAGTTATCTAGTCTTCTTTGGTTTTGTAACTACTCCTGTCAAAAACTCTTGTTTAGCTACTAAAAATGTTTAGAACTAACTGTTTGCTCTCGAGGAGGCATGCAGTTGCAGAGACTTTTTCTTAATATTGATGGTTTGCTCGCACAGGTTCCAAAGGAATGGAAGCTGGATCCTAAATGGGATGGAGAGTTAAGGCAGCCACAGCAGTTGAGCCATCTCAGAAGGTATCCTAGCAAATGGAGGGCAGTTTCCTCTCAGCAGGATCCATTAAGTACTGTTCGGATTGTTGACCAATTTGTTATTCAACAAACAGAGAAACCTAACCCGGGAGCCATGAATGGGTCAGCAGCTCATTGATCTAGCATTCGGTTCCTTGGTAATATTGTAACTTTAACATTCTTTAGGTAGTAATTCAAAGAAAAAAAAAATTAGATTAGAAAAAATGTGTAGATGTACTCCAGTGTGATCAAGGAAGAAAAATATAAATTCAGTGGATATATTGATCATGATTATTCTTTTCTATGTCTTGTTGCTCATGGTATAACTTCCAGCTCAGTTGATTGGTTCTACGTAGCATATAGGTGCATTCACTCGACATATTTGGATGGTTGTAGGCTTGTAGTGGGTAAGATACTGTGATAGTGATTAGGTGGTAATGATCGTTGAAACAGGGTTCCTGTCTGTTAAATATTTATTTTGTTCTGTTCAGAAGCTGAATAAATGAGTTTTTGGGACATTATGTTTAGAGTATAGGGCAAATTTTTTTTTTTGGATGATAAAATAGATCAAAGCAGGGATGTTTTATAAAGTTTTGGGTCAAAAGTCATTTGTTGAGGTGTACAAGTTTTGGGTCAAAAGTCGTGTGTTGAGGTGTTCAAGGTAGTGCATAATGGTCTGTTGATTCCAATGCATTAATTCCATGCAAGTATTGTGAGATCATATAATGTCACAGCAGTTGTGTGTGTGTGTGTGTGTGTGTGTGTAGACACACACTCACAACACTAAGAATTCTCTCTTCCACTTGAGGATGAGAAAATACCATTCCAGTTTTGTGTATAGACAGAATGAAAACTCACGATGTATCTGCTCATCGTCAGCCGAACGAGAGCATGTCCATCAAATGAGACCTCGAGACCAAGAATTTCAAATCCCCTATAATAACAATACAAGGAAGAATGCAAAATTAACAACAATAATTCAACCCATCACTTGCAATTAATTAAATTAAGTAATAAATATATTCACAACTAAAATCTCAAATTGAGTACCAAACACATGCAACTGACTAATCCTAAGGCAAAGGGTTGAGAAACTCAACCCCACTATTCTCTCGAACAAAAATAGTGGGAAAAATCGGATTCAATTGTCAACTGCCCCTATCGGAAATAGGACTGACTGCCATAATTGAACCTAACAACTTAATGTATCTCCTAAAAGGAATTCTAGCTAGGGTGGGTACGGTATGCTGAAGATTTCTTCTAGAGATGGCTGATAGTAAGGCTCCAACAATCTTGAAATACAGTCCTCTGTTTTCGGCGGCGAAAACTGCTGATTGAACACTTGAGGACTGATGACATTGAATTCTTGAATTTGAGGCTTTGCTGTTGCTTCATGATGACCGAACTGATCAATGCCGAGAGAATGAGGAACTAGTGCAGCAGTCACGTTGTGCATGGAATTAGTTCCTTCAGATGTCCCTGCAATGGAGTTTTCAGGTGAGGATCTCATAATAGGTTGTTCAATGTCCTCATTCATTCCATCATCATCAACCACTTGTCTACTATTTCTTGTGCCGCTCTCTCTGTTATAGATCTTGCATAAAACACAATCTAGCTGCAAGAAATTAAGAAATGTTAGAGTCAGTTGGAATATATATATATATATATATATATATATATATGTTAGAGACAGAAAATTGAGATAGTTGTGCATACCTTGGTATCATTTTGAGTTGTTGGACTATTGGACGGAGTATCTACTCTATATTCATGCATAATCCATGAGGTTTTCTTGGTGTTTTTAGGTCTGCCTTGATAGAATACCAATATCTTTTTATATCCAATAAGACGACCGTTAAACTTGACATGTTTGTCACTACCAGTGGCCTTCCAGTATCCATCTTTACCGGCTCTATTTGGTCGTTTACCGTTGGGATATTTTTTGTTTCTGGATGTAAAAAAATACCATTCTTTCTCTCCTTGATCCCTTTCTCCTTGAGCTATGTAATTCTCTATTAATCCCAAAAAAAAAAAAAATTAGAATATTAAAGGATTTAAAGATACATGCATGAACCTTATATATATATATATATGCAAGTTTAAGATTCATGCATGTATCTTTAAATCCTTTAATATTCTAATTTTTTTATTTGTTTATTTTTTTTGTGCTTTGGGATAAACAGAGAATTACATAGCTCAAGGAGAAAAGGACTAATTTGAAGACTAAGATAACAAAAGCCCGTATCACTCAAAACATAACCAACCTTTGCCAGGTTTGGCGGGAAAGGATTAACATATGATATACGAGTATAACATTAGATGACTATACAATAATAATAATAATAAAACCAATTAAATTGATAATATCAAAATCTACCTGAAGTGAATAACGGGGTAAAAATAAAAATAGGGTAAATCCGAAAAATATTGCGTTATCATGATGAAAATATAAGCAAAATAATTTTAAAAATATAGGGTGTAAATCTTATATGAAATCTAAGAGTGCACAAAAACAAACCGTTAAGAAATTGGTAAATTCATCGAATCGAATCATATGGTTTGGTCGGGTTCTGTGCTGTGCGGTTCGGATTTTAAAAAATTAAGCAACCGTTAATTTGATTATCGTTAGACATCGAAACAAACCTAATCCAATTCAACCATTATTACTTGATAATTTAACAAATATATTATATAATTTTGAGCATACAATTATGCCAATTTAAAGAAAAAAATTAGACAAAATTTGTTGATATTATTTTCAAAATTATCGGAATTAATATATTTGTGTCATATAGGACCTGTGTTAATGAATATCAATGACAAACAGAATTATCGCTAAATCTCCAAAATAAACACATATATGTATGTAAATTAAAAATCATAATCAGCAAGTGAAGTTATAGAGATATATGAACGAACCTGCAAGTGTATCTGGATTCTCGTCGTATATGTTAACCTCATGCATCCTGTTTGGCGGTAGTGGCAAGTTCATCAGTTTTATTTTCAAGTAATGTTGAACGAGCTCTTTATCGAGAGGCCGAAACCGATAACCAGCCGGAAAACTATCTAGATAGTCAACCGCATCCTCATAATAACCATTGTCGTCTTCGTTGTCGCCACCGGTGATCAAAGCAGCTGCTTGTTGATGGTGGTGTTGAGTTGTTGCACCGCTGAATGGTGGTATCAAAGATGAAAAAGGTGGTTGTGAACTACTGTCACTGCGAACTAAAAAGTCATTGTTTTGCCTGAAGTCTTGATTCTCCATTGTACGACGAAGGAGACTTCTACCAGTCGTCAAGTTATTTATAAGTGTGTTTTTTTTTTCCTTTTTTTTCTTTATTTTTTTTTTTTTTTGATATTTATCCAGAACTATAGTTAGAATATAATTGTTACATGAAAAAATATATGTTTCCTCGTAGGATTTAACTACTAGTGTTTTATATGGATTTGATTTCGAAATTATTGGTCCGACTAATCACGAATCAACATGTAAATAAAAAATAAAATAAAATAAATATATTTGTTTACGTGTCCACTAGTAATTGGTTTGAAACCATTATTAAGCAATAATTTCTGACGCTTTTGTAAAATTGACAAAAACGAAAAGGTTCTAATTGGGCTCAAGATTTATCTTGTTAGGTTCTTCTATTATTACGTCAACCTCACCTTGTCATGTTTGGGTATGGTGGGCTCTTTGGCTTGGGCTGTTTTGGGCTACAGCCTTCTCATATAAATATTAACCGTCTCAGTCTCTCATATATTTTATGTACAACTGTTTTTTTTTTTAAAAAGTAAAATATTATTTTCCTCTTATCTTTATTTATTTATTTATTATTATTTTGGTTTATATATTTTTATTTTATTCTCTTTCAATTTTCTTTTTCACTTTGAAGTTTGTTTAATTAGAGCATTAAAAGCTATTTTCAGCTGCCAAATTTATATTTTGACAGGTGCTACACTGTCAAAATACTACATTTTAGCAATTCTGTTCCAATGGTGCATTTCATGCAAAATGCTATTTTTTGACACAACCACTATTTTTTTTTTTCAATTACCATTCCTACCATTCATATTTGCATCAGTAATATTAATATTAGACACATTCTAAGGCAAGTTGTAGACATTAGAAGGAAGCTAAAATTAAACCTAATTAAAAAGAAACAAAAATCTAAAATATCTAGTCAAAAAAGGACCTATATATATATATATATATATATGTATAAATTTATATATTTGATTATATTGTTATATAATTTTTTTTTATATAATTTTTTTTTTTCGAAAATTCATACATATTATATATATATGTATATTATATATATTTGAGTATATTATTATTAAAAATATATATTTTGTTCAAAAACCCATATCTTTCAGTTTACATCGCCTGCTGTTCCAGTTTGGGTTCGCTGTTCGCAAGCTTCAGCCACTTTCTCAACTCTCAAGCTTGGCCTCTCTCTCTCTGCAACTGCTAAATTGTATGTATGGGTTTTGTTTTAATTTTTTTTTTCTAAATCAACTAATTAAGGTCTGTAATTCTTGTTTTGCAAACTAAATCCTATTTGGTGAAATTTTTTATTATCTTTTTTAAATATATATACATATATATATATATATATATATATCAACGAATTTGGATTGAAATTATATGTGTGTGTGGTTGAAATTATATATATGTGTGTGTGTGTGGGGTCGGTATTAGAGAGCTGTCAAAAAAATTTGGCAGCTCTTACATTTGAGAAATTTTTTGAGGTTTTCAAATTTTGAGAGGCTAAATGAAAGGTCATTGGAGTGGCTTTTTTCCCTCATCTCTCAAATTATGAGTTGAGTTTGAGAGTTCAAAATGAAAGAGCATTAGAAATGCTCTAATGCCACCAAGTGCTAGTGGTTTTTTAAATTTGAAAGTCAAGCGTTTAAGTCCTAATGTCCTTTTTTTTTTTTTTTTTTTTCATCAAACGGGTAATATCATGATCAAACGGGTAATGATCTTCTAATTAGAAATCTTTAGGTTGAGTACCCTTATTTTTTTGGTAAAAAATATACTTTTTCTTGGAGCATTAAAGAGTGTACGTCAACATATCCCTTCTACGTACTATCAATTAGTTCAGTTATAGTATTTTGAAAGCAAAAAGCAGATGCTAAATTATAAAGAATATTATATGATTATCGTTCGAAAATAAAATATTATTATACGAAAACAAATTTATTTTTACATAATTTTGTTTTTCTAAAAAAAATAATTTTCAAAAATTTAGCAATAGTTTGGTTTTTTATACTGTTTTTTGTTTTTGAATAAAAGACAACCAAACAAATCTTAATCTTATGCAATGATGATTGTTTTGGACACTAATTGTTTGGAATTGTTCTCAACTGTTCAAAAGCAGAAATTTTATTTTAAAAAATTGTGTTTAAATGTACTTTTAGTAGTTACCAATTTTAGATAAGATGAGTTTTTTTGAATTAAGCTATCATTTAAAGTTTTTAAAAATCCTTTTTTAATTAAAGGTTAAGGGTCTGTTTGATTTGTAACTCAAGAAATAGTTTTTTGTTCTCAGAGAATTTAAAAAAAAAAATTGTACAAAAATTTTGCTTGGTAACCTTGCTTGGTTCTTGTTTTCTAAAAACTTTGTTATAAAAATTTTTATTTTTAGAAAACTATAAAAGATTGGGGCATGCTTGGTCTGTAATTCTGAAAATAGTTCTCAAAAACTCAAAAAATAGAGAACAATTTTCAAAAAATTATAAAATATTATTATCTGAAAACAAACATTTTTATAACTAAGTTTTCAGAAAACTGAATCAAGCAGAATTTTTTTGTATAGTTTATGTTTTCTGAATTCTTGAAAACTGTTTTTAAAATTACAAACAAAAGAGATCCTAAATATTATAGCTAACTCTAATTCTTTAGATAATTATTATTATTATTTTTTTATGACAATTACACTTATCCCTTTAAAAAATTATTATTGTCAAATATGATAACATTCTATAAAAGATGTTACTATAAAATTAAGAATAAAAAAAGAATTGTTACTAAACAAATAAAAAAATAATTTAATTGCAAAAGTACTTATTATAACGATATTATTAAATACCTAACATTTTTTTTCCAAACAAGTTATAATATGTACAGTTACATATTACCTTTAAATTCAATATAATATGTAACCTATTCGTTGAGAAATAGGTTAGGTGGTTTGGTGGTACAGTTATAATATGCACTCCGTATCTATCATATCCAAACCCAATTCAAAATTTAAACAATTGTTGCAATGCAATAAGGGGCCATTGGAGAACTTGATGAAATTTTAAATATATTACTGTGCCACTAAATAAAACTGTTTATGTAAACAAGTAATAGGCACCAATTAACATAGAAGGTAACTGACAGGTTTGCAGTTCTCGTTCACGCAAGATTTACTATCGTATAAATCAAGAAAAAGAAAACAAAAAATTAATTGAAAAATGATATATTTAGTGCATATACATCAATTACACAAACTAAACTACAAGAGTAATTATACAAATAGTTATCCAGCACACAGATCAAAGTTTATCACCACTACTATTTCAATATTCTTTTGGAGGTTCTACTTGCTCCCAAACTTTTTGCAAGCTAAAACTTTTCGTTAGCTTTCCAGCGTTATTGATTATATTGAATTTGAAATTAAAATGAGTGAGATATATACGTTTTCATAACAGTTCATTTTCCTTTCAAAATCTTATTCTTTAACGTAAAATTTGATGTATTTGAGATCCGTTCACAACATATTCTTTGAGTTTAATTTCCTCCCATACATTAATAAATTTATTTTAATGATTTATATGTACCCATATAACCTTCAAACAAATGTATTTAACACCTGCCTCTTTTTCCAATTTTATCATTAAAAAATAGAAGTGTATTACATGGTATTTAACACCTGCCTCTTTTTCCATTTTTATCATTAAAAGTGTATGCCTCTTTTTCCAATTTTATCATTAAAAACATAGAAGTGTATTACATGGTTATGGTCATTCTAATAGGATGTATGAACATCGTACAAAAGAAGTTTAGGAATAATTAATTCCCTCCAACCCACTTAACGGTCGGCTGTTGTTGAGAGTTAAATCTTTCATTCATTATATATAGTAGAAGCATTATCGCATCACATCAACACAAGTATATATGGAGATAACAATTACACACATCAACACACAAATACAATATTTTACATGGTTCACTCAACTCTAGGGTTAGGTCCATGGGAGAGAGAGATTTCACTATCATGAATATACAACCACATATCAAAACCCCACTAACTCACTTATCATCTCTTTTAAGGTTACATGTATGCATTCGAGAATTATATATACTCCCACCTCTCCTCACAACACTCACCTTTTAACCCCTTACATCTTTTCTCTTTTCTCTCTCGCTCTCTAAACCACTCACACCATCTCTATTTATAGAGTCTTCAAACTCAATTCCGTGTTGGACAAGTATTCCTCAATTTGTCTACAAGGAGTTACCATAATGATCAAAACTCTAAAATAGAAACATAATGGGATACAATTTCCTTCACAAATTTTATCCTTCCAAAGCGAAAAAGGAAACTAATTTTCTGCACACAAATTTTGAGCCACAAACCCAACAATCTCTACCTTGGCTCAAAATTCTCTTCACGTGCTTCTCCATAGCTCCACCTCGAACAAGGATGTAATGTTACTGTTTTTCCCTATTTTCTATTTTTGAGAATTTATTTGATTTTTCTGGATTATTTTAATCCTTACCTCGTTTTGCGTACCACGCGGGCCCCGAAGGGCGTTTTGGTCATTCATCGAGCCAAAGGTTTTGAAAAATTAATTTTTTTTAAAAAAACAAAAAAATTATTTTAAGTCAATTAGAAATGACAGTATTATTTGTTAGAATTTTTGGAAGTTGGGACAATTTCTAGACTCGGGAACTTCTCCTGGTTTTGTTATTTTAGGAAAGGGGCATAATGGACTTTTCTCACATATATGTATACATCTATGTCTATATATTAGAGGTAGATATTTGTGGGATAAGAATGACATTTCATTGAAAGAGGAGGGGCATTATAGTAACTTGGCTTGAATTAGAAATCAACCAATTTAGGATAAGTGGCACACTTGTGGCCTTAGAGCAAAAAGGCAAAACCCAAATATCAATCTCTTCTCCTTCAATTTTCGGTGGAAACCCCCTCCCTCTAGATTTCCTTTTCTTTCTTCCTATATCTATATTACTATATACACCTCCATGCT